ATTAACACGGTTCAAATGATTTAAGTTGAGCCAATGAAGTGCGGTGTTTTCAAAATGGTTTTTCAAATTTTGTTTGAATTAAGAAAGCTTCTTGTTTTGTCAACAACGTAGTTCGCGCATTTGTGAATAGGAATTATCATTAATCGCAGAAACATCTTGAAGAAAGTTGGCGGTTTTCAGAGAAACAATCAGAGTCCGTCTGGAAATTTTGAATAGTTACAACTTCTCTGTAATTACTTTATGAAATGTAGGAACAGTTGCTATAGAGAATTTTATACAATTTGAGTAACAGGTTTAGAATAAGATTTGCCCAACTCGAGAACAAGAAAGATACTGAAACAATGCACTATTTGGCTTAAGTCATATTTACAAAGAACTTTTTTCCATGAATTATTTACCAAGAAGCGCAGAGAAATGAAATTAATTTTATTCTCTACAGTTTTAATTCGACCGCAGCCTGAGGATCTTGCAGAGTTGACCCATAACCACGTCCTTGAGATCAGTTCGCGATAATGAAATATATATATGTTCATTTTATCGTGCACAGTAGTTTTCCAAGTTCAAGGATAAAAGTGATTTCGTTGCTTCGTCTTTGCAGGGTTCCCCGTCAGCTAAGCCGCTTCCATTGAAGACTGACGAGGTCAAAGAAGACGCGACAATGTGGCGAATCACAACAACTCGAAAGCTGGCGGAATTTGTAAGTTGACAATTTATTTCCTGTTCTAAATTAGATTTTACGACGTTAACGCATATGATTGACTGAGTTATTTACTTTAGTGTAGGTTAAATTACGTGCCTTTCATAAAAACAGGAAGACAGCGTTTCTCTGCTGAATTCCCAGCCGTATACATCCTTTTTTTAGCGCTGATTTATTCGCCGGCAGCCATATTTGAGTAACTTCGTAAACAGTTTTTGATTTATCAAAGTTGAAAGGATAGATAAGTCGCTCGAGGTTTGGGTTCAAGCTTTTGGAAGAAACAGTTCACAAAAGATGACTTTTGCCAACACTGTTATCATCTAGCTGCAAAAACACGATTGAGGATTTCTTCGTGGATTTTATTTCGGTTTCTCTAGTTTTCCTATCATCGTGTTCGATGTGGGGTAACACACGTATTCAGTGGTTATTAGATGACGTATTCCGTTCTTGAAAAACCACTTTTCTTTCAAAGGGAGCCATATCTTTAAGCATATTTACAGAATTCAAAGAACAGAAAAAAAAAAAAAACGAAAATGTTTCCTATTCCAAATCGTTGGTGGATCCATGATACTAGAATAGTCAATACACACTCTTTATCACGTGACTTTCGCTATTCGTGCGACTGCGCACTTAAATCTGAGTCCGATGATTCCCCGGAGTTTCCATAGTGGTGTTGTTGTAAACTTTTAGCGAAATTTTTTTTTTTTTCGAAAAAAGAAACTGTTGCTGGCCGAACATCGAAATGTTACATTAAATAGCACTTTTGTTAAATGTGAAACGTTACATTGTAATTTTGTGCTCAAACGCTAAGTGTTTACTTTACAAGGTGAATTCTTTTTCTATAGGAGGAAATGCAATCCATCAAATTCCATGTACTAAAATAAGGAAATTCGATTGGTTATCTTCTTTAAATCCATCAGTTCTTAACAAATGAAGAAATGGCATTTCTTTCCCGACAAACTCTAGGTAAAAAAATTACATTGTAGCGTAATGGAAAATTTAAACCGAGAACTCTTGGTTTTTTAGAAAAAACTGCTTCAAATGGCTTATCTGATAAGAAAGTTTGATAACTGCACCGCATTTGCTAAATATATTCAGATCAATATTTATGTTCAGCCGAATGAATTTAGAGATTTTTTTCAGCTTTTCTCTTTTAATAAATTTTTTCGTAATATTGATTGATCGTGATTTTTGATTTACTTCATAATTCTGTAATCGAAATCAATCGAACCACAGTCAAATGAGAGAACAGGGGAAGAGTTAGCTAAGAAGTCGGTTATCTTCCACCGAGATTACACCGAGCAGGAGCCGAGCGGCTCAGTCGTGTTTCATCGGGGGTTTGTTCTCTGAGATGCTCCCTCCAGAGCAAATCGATGAATTCAAATTCAATTCGCTCTCGCAAGCCTTCACGACCATGACTTTTTTCGAAGAAGAACTCGTCTGCTGGCGGACGAGCGAAGGAATGTGTTCCTATCAGAGACAAACTCGGTCCGTGCGATACGAGGTTTGTAAACGTTTTCTTAACGCGTTACAGTGATTCTGAACGCAGTTAGAAATGGTCTAATATTTATGTACTCGCGAGGGTAACTAGGGAATTCTGCATTTGTTTGCTCAATGTGTCAGAGTACTCTAACCCAAGTTTTGCAGCGTCAGTGTGATTCATTAGTTGGTCAAACAAATGATTTTCGAAATATTTATTTACAACAATTTATCTGGAGCGATCGGCTCGATTATAAAAGAAGAGGAAGGATTAAGCTTTCTGGAATCATAACAAAAAGAAAGGAACGAAAAGATAAGCATCTTATTTCTGATTTAATCAAACAAAAGATAGAAATGTGTCTTGCTTAATTAACACACAATTTGTTCCTCAAAGATTCGGAAGCCAGAAAACTAATGAATTTTATAGCGCTGTGTAATACTACAAGGTTAGATTTATGAAAAAAACAAACTTTTCTGTCATGATGCAACGACGTTTATTATTTTTTTTTTTTGGGTCAGGGATGTCTTAGGAAAAATGATCTTCGTTCTGTCGTTTTATTCAGTCGTTTGAAATGCTCTGAGTTGAGAAAATTTCGATTATATTTATTTACACCCAGCTGCGTGCAATTTCGTTTTAACGTGATAAATGATATGCGTCTATTTTGGGCATGTATTTAAGTGTAGTTGTCAATATTGATCATTTTTACCGGATTCCCGAAAGATTTTTATTTACTGTAAGTTATAGTTGTTCAGTCTCAATATCTAGGTGAGCGGACGCTTTTTTTCGAGTTGGCTCAAATATATCTCGTGGCCATCGAACGAACAAGGAATAATCACTTTACCATATAAACGAACTCAGGTGACTGTATTTCTTATCAAAGCTTTGTACAGTGCATTGTGAAGAAAAATAAGGTCTTGACCACTTTTTGTATTCCATAATTATGATTTCAAATGACTTGCCCCTTTACGCGCGCCGCAATCATGCTTTGTATGTTTTGTGATGACAAGAGTTAATTTTTACCAATGGCGATTCAATGTAATTGTTACACGCAGTAAATTGTAAATTATCTTTTTTGCAAGCTTTAAAATATCACCAATCGTTGAACGAGTAGAAAGAATTGTGCTGCACAAAATGCTTTTTCGCTGTGCATTTTCCAATGTTTTAAACTAAAAATAGTGCTTACACATAGTGTCTTGCAATACTCGAAAAATTTTTACGAGATTTTGAGCAAAACATTGGCGAATCGTTCTTTCAACGTTGTTCTCCGGAACACAAGATACAGCACGCGCAGTGAGTGGTTGAAAAGTCTGTTTTTTGCAAACTCCGGAGTACAGGACCGTCGAGTCATACATGGGGTTATCGGGACACAGGATGTACGGGATGTGTACGGGATATGAACAGGATATGAACGGGATATATACGGGATATGTACGGGATAGGAACGGAATACAGAACTGAAAATACTGTACTGAAGTTTACTGAGTGTTGAAGTAAGCTATGTAGAATCCCTTTGAAACCAAGGAGGCCGAATCAATAAGCTTTCGATTCCTTAGCTTATAAGATAGGTTGGCGATGCAGCATTTAGGATGATCATACGATTGAGTGTCTACGATTTCTCTAAGAAATAGATTACGTGTTGCTGTGTGTCTGTTCAGCAACAGATCACAAATGATGTCAAAATTAGGTAAGAACAAAGAGTATCGCACAAGGCATAGTCGAGTATGTCTCTGATGTTCTTACCACATCAAGTTTGACGTGTTCTGGGATCTACTATAATACAGGCCCTCAGCAACATAGAATTTTATTTATTGTATATGGTACAGAAGCAAATAGATGGTGATGGTGACGTCACCTACACGTCTGTCCCCTAATAGATCGTAAATAAGAACCGATCAGAATTCGTGTATGATGCAACTCATCATGAAAAGTGTTGTGGTCAATGTGTTCGTTATATAATAACGGGTATCACACTAGGCGCTCGGCTAGTGGCATGGAAACGAGCGAAAATGTGGGGGCCAAAACGTTAGGGCTCAGGCCACCGCAGCTGTTCTTTTGAAAACTAGAACCGTCCAGTTTGCCGCTCATTCGCTCTTTTGCGACATGGGTCGGGTGTTAACTTGTTAAGGAAATCAAAATTCGAGTTTCGGTTTCTCTTTGCATGTAGAAGAGAAGAAACGGTTTTATTTTTTCCAAATTCTGAGAGAAAAATGATTTGTCAGAGATCTCCGCGATCAAATGTTAAAATCTGTCTTTCATTTTACCTTTGAACAGTACAGAGTCATTAGGAGTGATGTTTAGGTTCCTTGTACTATTACAGAACGTCTCTCATAATCACCTGCTTATAATCAAGCAAAAGATAATTTTCTGCTTTTCAACAGACAAAAATGATAGTAAACGCAATCAATTTGCTTTTGTACACAATACGGATAATGCATTGAATTTTATTCACGATGAAAATGATGACTGTGTGTTCTATTCGAATGATTTTCTGTGAATCAAACGGAAAATGAAGCGTAGCAGTAGACAGTAATTGTCTTTGTTGATTAAAACATTGTAATCATTATAGACTTGAGAAGGATATCAATGCTAACATAAAAGACTCACCACCGCGGGCAATGTTTGAGTTCAATGCAAATACTACTGATAATCAGTTCCGTATAGATAACTTGAATAAATCAAGCTTTCAGATTGGTCCGTTCTATCCACAACATTAAATATTGAAAAGTGATGGCGTTGTCCTAGAATAGTTTGACGCCCAGAATTTTATGGCGTCTGATGTGAAATAATATATTCTGTTGGTCGAGTTTCATTCAAACATCAGGTCAAAACAGGCGAAACGAGACAATGAGTTCGTCTCTCCTCGCAATGGGATTTCAACATTAAATGACAAAGTCATTTCATCGCATCATTTTCGCCGCGTTTGTCTCAGAAATTGCACGGATTATCGGTGAAGATCATGATTTTTGTACAATGGAATGGTATTTCAGATTTGTAAGTAGAGGATAAAACCGATGCTCAGTATGTCGACTGACACAGAACCTGATGTTAAGGAAAAATTGGAGAACGATTCGGTAAGGGAAATTTTAATTCTGACTGCATTCAGTGTATATGCCATTTCGTATCTTAAAATGGTTTACTTGGAAAAGTCGTATTTGAACAATTCATCAGCCATTACTTCTCTCAAAGATGATTAAAACTTTATTGAAATGAAACTTTACACGACTTAATTCGACTTAGAACCTCCCTTAATTTATCCCCTGAGGCGGAAAGCGAGTTTTTAGTCGCTGTTGGCATCAACACTGTTGAATACCGGCCTCCTGGCGTGTGCTAAAATTGCAACAAATTGATACGGTTGTTTATATTTTCAGGAGCACAAGATGGCGTCCGTGCGAGACGATTTGGATATCAATCCAATGATGGATAATCCAGTGTTTTCGACGGGTAGTTCTGTTAATCTGTTCTGCCCTTTGTGTCATGAAATGTTCGTGAACCCTCGATTGTTGCCATGTCTGCACACGTTTTGTAAAAGATGTCTGGAGAACCTTGTGGTCCCGAGGTCAAGTTCTCTCAGCTGCCCGGCCTGTCGAACAGATGTCCCTCTCACGGTACGTTGAAGCGTTTCGTTGTGTTCAGTTTTCATTCTAATCTCGTCTCCTTTAGCTTTAGAAACTTTGAGAAACTAGAGTTTATTCCAATAGTCTTTAAATGATTTTTTTAACTTTACCGAAACCATTATTGAAATATCGTTTACGCAAAGATGACCAGATAAACCATCGATGGATTTTAAACGCCATCTTCGTCAATACCATCTGTGCCCTCAATTACCACATTGCCGCTTGCCTCCATAAAAATCCCTTTCCATTTCACAAAGAAGCTTATTTTTTGCCCAGCCTGATATAGGTTCCATCCTAACAATAGAAATAATTTATCCTATCTCAAAATTCTACCTTAAAAGACCTGTTTACTGTTGCATCAGGATTTTTAGCACGTGTCTGGAAGGAAAGAAAGTTTCTATTTCACACATAATGAAAGGTTAACAATGATATTTGTCAAAATAAAAAGAAACCCTAAAACTTGAATTAAGCATTACATTCGATTTTGAAGGACATTTTTTCAAAGGCGTGTCAGGCTGAGTTTGTTTCCGAGATCGATGCATGGTATGATGATAGACTGACTAAATATTCAATGAAATTCGTGAACTCGTCAATAACTTAATTTCGCATTCTGCCTGACGAAAGTTGGCTAAAGATCGATGGCGGATTTAACAAACTGAATATAATGCAGCGCATAAAAGGCTTTTTTTGTTCATCCTAAACGACAAACAGAAGTATTGGGGACCAGCTTTCTTCAATTGCTTTAACATGGAATTCATTATTTGTGAGCTTCACTGCCTTAAGTGTATAATCGCCCCCGCCAACTGAAACATGCATATTATTTGTATTCATCGTAAAGATCAAAAGACAATCGAAATTCCAAATATTGCCAAAGAAACTTTATAACCTTAGGTTATAATTTTGCCAAAGTGTGTAATAGTACCTGAGTCAAATACAGAGTTAACTTGCGTGTAGGAATAAATTCATTAGATACAAGAAATCAGCTTTGGAATCTTGTTTAGCAACTGATTTGAAACATTTCTGAAACACACCGTGCAAATTCTTTAAGACAACAAAAGCCGGCTGTTGGCGGTGCACTGTCAGCCATAAGACCTCTTACTATCATCTGCTAGTTTAGCCTACGAGCGGCTGGGCTCTCGTGTTTGGTTTTCCCCTTACGGCACAGCCGCCTTTAACAACATCGTCAGCCGCTTATGGAAAAACTTTTAAAACCTTTGTTAAGATATGTCATCATAGGAAGTTCGGTTTTGCTTACAAATTGATTCAACGTTGAGCCGACAAAACCTCGTTGAGAATTACGTGCCGACTAGAGGTTTGCTCGCCTTAAAATATCGTTCCAATTAATTAACGAAAGCTTGTTTCAATAAATCATTTACTGGTCCAGTTTCTCCTGAAATGATCAACGGCAGGGCCCGCGAAAGCTCTTCACTTAGCAAAATTACATGTGTGTTTCTCTGCGTGGCAAAATAAAATGTGTTGTTTGGCCTTGCGACCTAAAAAAATCGTGAATCTCAAATCAAATCAAAACTACGGAATGGTTCTTGAGCGCTTTCGTTTTCTGCAAGTGACTTTTCCTTAACGCTGCATTGCTTGCCCCAGCAAATAGATTCGTTGATATCTCATAGTCATGGTTTAGTTTCACTTTACTCTTTTTTCTCTAATTTTGTTCTTGTTGTTTTGTTTTGTTTTTGGTTTTTTTTTTCAGGAGCGTGGTGTCGGCGCTTTCCCGCCAAATTTCGTGGTAACCACCATGATGGATGTGGCGGCAGTGCGCGCCCACGACAAGAACCCAATCATGTGCAGCAGCTGCGAAGACAAACTTCCTGCGGCTGCGCGGTGCATCGAATGCATGGACTTTCTCTGCCATGACTGTAGAAATGCTCACATGAGACTGAGGCTAACCAAGACTCACAGGGTAAACGCTAACATTTTTAAAAAAATTGAGAATGGTTTTAATTTTGTATAAAATTAGTTAGTTGAGATGGCCCGAGTTTCAAGGCTCTCAATCAGAAAGCGTAGCATAGCAAACCAAATGCAATCCTGCAGTACTTTCGACATCAAATTTAAGTTTGATCTATCTATAAAGAAAGAAAATTAATTAAGAGTGAAAAGTCTATGCGAGTTTCTTTGCCCTCAAAAAGGTTCCATACAATACACGAATTTATTGTTTCACCCACAGAATATGCGAGAAGAAAGTAAAATCGTATTTTAAATGTTTTGTGGCCATTTTAGGTTGTGTCTTTAGACGAACTGAAATCCAGTCCACATCCCGAAGATTTACTTCATCGTCCAATTTTCTGCATGGAACATGCCCACGAGAAGCTAAGGTACGTTGCAGTCAAAAACTATTCTGCAGCAATAACAGAGGAGAAATTCAATACTAAAACGCAGCACAATATAAATGATTATGGCGCCAAGATAGAAGTTGAACGCTCTCTAGGAATCGGAGCAAAGAACTTAATTTATTTGGAAGGGTAAAACTGTGAAAAGATATCATCACTCAAATTAACATTTGACCAGTGTCAAGTGCGGGAAAAAGTAGCAGGAACTGAGGAAGAACGGAGGAAAACCTGTATGGGAACCTAACGATGGAAGGTAACACGGGACGAGAATTTAACTGCGAAGGTCCAAGGAGCCGAAATCTCGCCTGAGTAAAGTGCTCAAGTTAAAGCCGTGTAATATTTTATAGTCAACAGTGACTGAAAAAGCTCCTTGTTACTGCAGTCACCTAGACAACGTTAAGTTATCCCGGTAACTATAACTGCACTGCAAGAGAGCTCACCGCAAATGAAGTTCACCGCTCTTACTGTTTTTACAGGTACTACTGCGAGAGCTGCGAACAAGCTATCTGTCGTGAGTGCACCATGACTTCTCACTCGACTGAGCGTCACAAATACACCCAGTTGACTGACACCATTGACAAGCAGACTCAAAACATCTCTCAATTGGTAGAAAAACTCAAAAGGAAGGTCCCAATTGTCACGCAATCTACTAAAGACGTAGAGGAAGTCACATGCCGGCTCGAGGCCAGGGCGGAAGTGGCGAAGTCTGAAATTCAGAAATGCTTTCCTCGAATTTTAAAAGCGTTACAAGATCGCGAAAAAGGAATGATGGCTGAAGTAGAGACAATGGTACAAAGAAAATCAAAAGTCCTAGGAATACAACAAGAAAGATTGGAAAATGAATTAAAACGTCTTACGACGACCTGCAACTTTACTGGTAAGTATCTATTTCCCAGGTCCGCAAGGCGTACTCATGGCTGAAGGAGAACTGTGGTCAAGTAATTGGATTTCTTAAAAGTGATATAGGGCATCTCGCTGGTGTACTAAAACATGCATTACAATTAAATTGGGCAAGACTGAATACTTTAAAATTTCTGACTATCACAATTATAAAACTTCGTACTTTGATAGGTAGCTCTAGTTGGTTAGTTATTACTGCCCCACATTTAAATCTGACTACCCACGGGTTTTTTGAGTAGGTTTGACCATGAAACTTTCCGCCTTCGAAAAATACACTTTCGCCTGACACAAAAAATAACTTCCACTACGGGACGACTAGTTTTCCTTGGCTTGATGGTTATCGTATTTTCTTAGGTATGGAGCTCCACTAGTATGCTTTGCGCGCAGGAGTTTCGGTCATGAAACTCGACTTGGTTTTTAATTAAATTTGTAATGGGAAAGACATTTTGGAAACTTTTTCCTTCTATTATGTCTTGCAGAGGAAGTCTTGAGGCATGGAAACTCTGTGGAAATCCTTGTCATAAAGAAACAGCTTTGTGACAGATTAAATGACCTCATCTCCACTAAGTTTCAAGGAGAGCCCGAAGAAAATGACGTCATCTACTTTGTAGCCAATCAAGATGAAGTCCTGAAGGCTCTCGAGAACCTTGGGCAGATTAAAACGAGTAATGCCTTCCCCACTAATTGTACAGTAGCTGACGACATGAAGAATGCAACAAAGGGAAGGAAATCCAAATTTACAGTTCTTACGCGGTAAGCAAAGTTCATTTGATGAAATCAAATCCAAGAGGTAAATTTTGGTAATAGACTCGGTACTGGTCAGGCCTCATAGTTATTTTACGAGATAACGACAATAAGCTTTTTGACTTGCTACTCAACGAAGCTCCTTTCAAGAACAATTTCAATTGACCGTTGTAAGTAATTCGGAATTTCAATGATTTTTGGATTAGTATACTCTATGATTGGTCAAAAAAAAAAAAAAAAACCTGCACCACCCTCTCAACCAATCAGATGCAAAGCTAAAACCAATCACGATTTGGTTGCTCGCATTTTCCCGCGCTTCACGTCCTCGTGTCTGAAACATTTTACAGGTCGTCAATCGGAATTCTTGTTAGCTCCTTGTAATGTCATCCTCTATCCTGATAGGCCTTTGTAATTACTTTAGTATTTATTTCACGGAATTCAAATGTAAAGCGCTCTGATGCGAATGATGCATTTAACCTTGTTGTGATGTGTTTAGTGATCACAGTGGGGCCCAGTGCACTGGCGGCGGTGAGGATGTAATGGTTGATGTGTACACGTCAGATGGAAGAACTGTGCCTGCCGAAGTAAGACCGCTTGGCTCCTCCCCGGGCTCTTCACATGCGCTCTCTCGCTACAACTCACAAAATGTTAGCATTCCATTTGAGATTCACGTGTGGCATGCACTATAATAATTCATGCGCAGAATAATTACTAACTGTGTCTTTTTTCTTAACGTGACTCCTCCGTGGTCGTTATTTCGGTTTTTACGCAACGTTTGGGGAGAAACATTGCGTGACAACCCAAACAACAGCCGCGCCGAGGCGTAAATGTGTTATGTTCAATCTTACCTTTTCATCGCACTACGATTTTGCTTTCTGCACCTTTCTTTGTTTTACTTTAGCAATCACTGTGGTGTCACAATTAGGTTCTATTGCAGTAGATGTTGTTTTGTTGTTGGTCTTTTTGCGGACTGCCATTTGGAATGTCACGCAAGACCCTACCCCCGTTGCAGTATAGCAGCGAAGAGTCACGTGACAGGGCTTAAAATACTTATTTGTGTGGAGTGGGCAGATTTTAGTTGAATAGCAGGTGCTCAACGAAAACGTGGATAAGACTCCCGCTTCCAATATGATTGTTTTTGATGGTGTGTTGCCCAATTTTTTCCAGGTTGAGGACCACAGAAATGGTTCTTACGGAGTCAGTTACAGCCCCTTTAATGTTGGAATGCACAAGGTAGATTTATGAAAAACATAATATGTTTACTGTTAACATACTTGACTGACTGTTTTCTTTCTTCCCACCTGATAGCTCCACGCTTGACATTAACTTTTTTCCAGCCTAACATCAATATACACATTCTCCATATTGTTCTGTATATATTTGCTACGGTGCTGACAAGGAGAATTTGTTAAACAATCAACTGAAACTGGCTCAGTCGTGAAATATTTAGTACCGAGGCTCCTCTGAGCCGGAATCACTTGTTCTGCAGACGCGTAGATTAAATTAAACTTTATGTACGAAAAAAATACCAGTTTCTTGTACAAATTAAATTTTAGAAGGATTTTGATGTTAAGAATTTCTCTCCGTTAAAGGTGTCTGTGACTGTCCGAGACAAGCACATCCAAGGTAGTCCTTTTAAAGTCAATGTTGTCAATACTGGAGAATCCTACCTCAAGTTTGGCAAAAAGGGAACGGAAATTGGAGAATTTAACGGAATATTTGGCGTTGCTGTGGACGATGAAGGGCACATCATTATCACAGATTGTCACAACCACAGAGTACAAGTTTTCAATCAAAATGGCGGATTCATGTTCCAGTTTGGTCGCAAAGGAGAGGGCAGCGGACAGTTCCAATGCCCCACCGGGGTAGGGGTGGATCCTGACGGGAGAATTGTCGTCTGCGAAAGACTGGGCAGCAGAATACAGGCAAGAAATGATTGAAATGCAAACATGTGTGGTATGAGCTAACAAAACTTTGATTTGAATCTGGCAGCATCATTTGCGGTTTTTCTTCAATCAGAGGCAAAACTGCTATAACTCACAACTAGGTTACTCACCTTTTCCCGCCCTTTAGCAAGCCGTGTCGCGTGATTTTAATTTGAGTGTTGATTGGCTTCTTGTATTATTTTTCTTTGCTCTGATTGGCTAACTCTAGTTAGGGTCTAAGAAACCTATTGAGGCGCACTCTGAAAAGTTTCCTTCTCAGTTCCTACTTTTTTTTACCTTCGTAGATATTTGATCGAGATGGAATGTTCCTTCACAAATTCTCCGTTCCAGACCTAAAGGCCTCCACATTAGCAGTAGATGCTAACAGAAGAATTATTGTTGCTGACTCAGCAAATCGTTGTATTCATGTCATTTCACTGGATACAGGTTAGCAATGTTTGAATTGACTTATTTCCTACTTCTCCAGTGAAAAACATATAGAAAAATATTGGTTCCCTGTGATATAGTAGCATCCTACGCACCAGGTGCGAGGCGTTCGTGGTAAGTGCGAAGCGTGCGAGGCGTGCGAGGTTAGCACGAAGGGTGTGTTAAATGCGGAAGGAGGAGCACGTGATTCCCGTTCCTTCCGTTCGTCTTAAAAACTTCTGTCCCACCTGTCTTCATTATCCGTGCCTCATTACTTTATCCTTTTTACATTCTTACTTGTGTTCGCGTTCACAAATTTGTTAAAGAAAAGTGTATTTCATGCCTTCAGGTCAGTCTTTCAAGTTTGGTTCTTTTGGAGACGGCAATGGCGAGCTGAATTACCCATGCTACGTTGCGGTGAATTCTCAAGGACACATCATTGTGTCGGACATGCACAGTCACCGTATTCAGGTACGTCATGCTGTCAGTCATTCAAACTGGTAAAATATTATCAAACTAAAGCCATGGGACAGGAATGGCTTTCTTACACGAGAGTAACTTTACTTTTAACCTCGTTCTTAGGACGGGGCTGTCGTTTTGAGGAAAATTACTCTTGGTATATCCTATCAAAATTCCTCAAAAAGTTGACAAGGATGAAAACACAATAATTAGAATTGTAGCTAGTGTTGAGCGGTAAGTGCCAGTTTCAAAATTGATGAATGAATGACGCTTGATAGAGCAATTTCCGAGTGTCGAAAGTTATTTGGGATTGCATTGGTTTTCCCTTCTTCGCTTTGTGATTGGTCTAGAAAACTTGCACCACCCTCTCAACCAATCACAACCGATCACGACTTGATCACTCTCGTTGTCCCGCGTTTTAGGTGGTTCACGTGATGCGACTTTGAATTCTCATTGGCTCCTTGTGACTCTTTCCTTTGTTCTGATTGGCCGTCGTGATCGTTTTGGTTTTAAGAGACCTAAACGTAACGCCCTGTGTAACTAGTTTATATAAAAAAATTTAAAGAAACTGTTTAAATTATTTACCTTTTCCATTCAGGTATTTGATCCACGTGGTCGATTCATGTTCAATTTCGGCCGTAAGGGGAGTCAGGACGGGGAGTTAATGCGCCCCACTGGCGTAGCCGTGGGTCATGACGGAAACATTATTGTCGCCGACCGAGATAATCATCGGATTCAAGTATTTTCCAGCGAGGGACGTTTTGTCACGAAATTTGGTACTAAGGGTGATGGTGACGGTCAACTGAATGACCCACATGGCCTCGCTTTGACGCCAGAGGGGAACATAATTGTTGCAGACTTTCGAAATAATCGTGTTCAACTTTTTGGGCAGCCGGCATGAAATCAGTTTTAAAAACGTTTTCTTAGTGAAATTGTGCAAGAATTCGTTCGGGACAGAAGTTTCAACACACTGGAGAGAGAATGGGCACTGGCAAGAGAATATTCTCTTGGCACTGGAAGATGGCGAAGACGGCATCATATTTCCATATTTGGAGTGCGTGTTTTAATTGGATCGCCTCTGGCACCGCACTTGGTGGAATGTGAACATGTGATCAGAATTTCTCATCGTTTCATTCCTTCAAAGAGTAGATGTTAATTTAAGTCAACATATCAGTAATTTAAACTATGAAATAGTTTCAAAGATTTTTTTGGAAGAAGTGCAACACATTAATGCTTAATTTCCCCCTTGCTGAACATATCCTGTTATATCTAATTAAAATTTTAGGCTTATAGATATAAGCTAAGAGGCAAAAAGCCTTTACTTAATCTATTTTCAATTTCTTTGAAGCGAACAGATTATCACAAAGTTCGCTCCAGTCTTTTTTCAGTCTCTTCTGAAACGCGCAGGAGACGCAAGGGGGGGGGAATTTCACACTCCCCCAGAGAAGGGAACTTGAAAAATAGAAAAAACTTCCAACTCCTGCTAAATAAGACAAAAAACTTAGCATCAAACCGTACTTGAGTAACCACACATTTGACATTTTCAAAACGCGTCACATCGGTAGTATTGAAAAGAGGGATTTTGTGCAGAAAGGTTCCACCAACCATTCCCCTCGGGTCCATTAACTCTCTGTGCCATAATGCGACTGAAGTACGTTTGTTCTATATTAGTGGTTTACCTCTATCTCAAGTTTCAAAACCAATTTTTTTCTTATTTCAGAGAGGATGCGGGGGGGGGGGGGGGGGGAGGGGGGTGGAGGTGGTAACATGGAATAAATCCAGCGAGTCTAACCGAAAAAAAAAAAAAAAAGAAATCGGCTAAAGCCTAAACTGAATCAACGCCTATATAATCTAGAAAAGTTCAACGCTTGCCTTACTTTTCTTTTAGAGAGAGAGAAGCGTTGGTTTTACATAGAAAATCTGTAGGTAGCTTATCTTTAGGGCTTTATTTGGTTATTGTCTTTTCCAGTGTCATTTCAGCATAAATTGCAAAACAAAGTAAATATAATTTGGAAAAGCGCCGGTTATCGAACAAGTCTGTGTTTCAACCTGTGCGATAACTTAGGTTCTTGTTTGACATTCCTATCTTCTATTTTTTAAATTTTTTATAATAAACGTTTGTTTCATTTTTATGTAAGTTTAGAGATCTTCTTTTAGAGGCATAGGAATAAATTAATTTTTGATCCAAAATTTTTTAAATTTTCTATGATTTTTTGATGCAAGGAACGCTCTCATACAGGAAACCGCAAAGACTTTAACTTTTACTGTTTAAATCATTTCAATTTAAAACAAGGATTTCACCATTGATTAGCTTTCATGAAAATCATATCCTTCATGACTTCTTTTATTCTTTAGGACATTAAGGCAAAAGTAATATATTTAAAATAATCAAACTGTTTCACTGTTTCACAAAGAATAGTTTTGACAGCATGACCAGCTACCATTTTAGCAAAACACATCAACAGAGTTTTCCCTCTGAATAATGGCTTATCTGCCAATAACCTGGATGAAATTTAGGAAACGCGTTTAGTGAGATCAGAGGAGTAGGAGAAATTTTAAAACTTAGAGGAAACAGAAGTTTGATCAAATTTTATTTTCATCGAAAATTTGCAACAAAATTTCACCTTTGTATTTACGTATTTAGAATTCCAAGTTTAATACTGTTTTTTATTTTTATTAATCAGGCCATTCACTGTGCCATGTAAAAATATTTCACAATTAGGCATTTTAAGATTTATATTTGTTTTTATCAGTTGAGTAAGTTGTCTTTGTAAGTAAAGGCTTTGATAAGAATGCATTTAGCTGAGTCAGGACAGGGTGGAACAATGCTCCTTCAATTAAGCGAAAATAAACCACTTCACAAGTTCAATCCATTCCATAAGTCCATTCCATTCTCAAGTTTGCAGTTGATGATTAATATGGTAATTTAAAAGTTATGTTTTTTTTAGATCTCAATCAACAATTGACCACACTGCTAATAAAAGGGCAATTTTGGCAAATCAAAGAGGTTACAAACTGGTCCGCAACAGTCTTTTGCAATTCCTCCAAACTACTGCTAATCCAAAAACCATTCCTAGTTTTAGGAGATGTACAAGTTACAATCCCCACACCACCTCACTAAAAACAAGAATACTTTACCGAACCGTCCCCAACCATCTAAAGTGAGGAAAGCAAATAAACACTCTATTCCAATATTTAATCTCAAATTCAGATTAAGCTGTATATTAGACTGAAAATATATTGTGTTCATATATATCTGTTGTACCATTGAAACGTTTTTGCATGCTTATAACGAATGATAAATCTAAGACATTCCCAAATATTACCAATTCTGATCAAACAAAAAGCAACATGCAAGAAATTGTCAAGACTTTGGCACTAACTTGTTCACCTGGTAACTCCTCCACACCACTTGTGTACGAGCAGCTGGTAGTTTTGACTCTTATCAAGATGCCACTGCATCAATGAAAACATTGGCTAGAAAAAAGGAATGAGAGTTTCCAACTCATCCTTTTATAGATAAAAATTTCGCTCCACTGCATCAATGAAAACATTGGCTAGAAAAAAGGAATGAGAGTTTCCAACTCATCCTTTTATAGATAAAAATTTCGCTCCACTATCTTTGAATGAAACCAACCAAAATGTTTGAATATAGTCATCTTAAAATGCATTCATACGTAAGCATATTGTTCGGCCGTTTAGGTTTTTCAAGCTGCTTTACTTCTCCTGCAATGCAGCAGTAATAAGTTCCCTTGGCCAGTCATCAAAAATTCACAAGTATCTCTCTATGAAGAATTCATTTCTTTTATCAAGATTTTCAGTAATAGTAAATTCCCTCATTTCAGCAAGCTCTCCACTGAGTGAAAGTTCTGGTCCTTGAAGATTGGAGACCATTAATCAAGACTCATTCTTGTTATCCACTGCCTCTCAAATCAGCGACTTTCAAATCCAGGCATTGTGAAACCTCTTGCAAAACTCTCCACATCTGCTCTGAGAGAGTCAATTTTTGCCGTTGTTTCTGTGTTAGATTCAATATGTGAAAGAAAGTCCTTCATGGCATCACCTTTTAAAATGAAGAGACAAAACACGTCACAAATTTAACTAATTGGTATGAAGCTATAGAATTACTGTACTGTGCATAAACAAACAGCTGTGTGACAATCAACAGCAATTTGAGTGTCATTAAGTAGAGCATAAAGCACAGGTGTCACAGTCTCAAAGTTGTCCCCAGTTCAAAAAATTGCCAGCTATCTACATGATATATACAAAGCTATTTGTATGCAATACATGTTTCTATGTACAGATGGAAAATTGATAAATTGATTGTTGATGATATAAATCTCATCATAGCAGTGTGGCTGCATCCCTGCAGCTTAACCCTTTAATTCCCATATCAAACTTGTAATTCTCCTCACTGTAAACCATACTATTCTTGTGATGTTAGTTCAGAGAATTTAGTATTGGTTCAACTAATAATCCCTAAATTGATATTTTCTTTATTCTCATCACTTATCCGGTTGATACTGCATTGATATTGTAAGGAGAAACTCTGTCTAACTAAAATAGTAAAAGATCACATTGATCACCTACAAGATATCTTCAGCTGTTCTGAAAAATTTGAATTCCATTTGAATGTTTAGTCTGGGTTGTGGTTAATTATAGGAAGGTAACCTCTGTACTAAAGCCAAGTGACCCACCAGGTGAAGCTTATCCCCATTTCCCTTGCACTAGTGATTGGGAGGAGAATTAGTACTTTCCCCTGGATGGGATGGCACCTAACACTTCATTGTACCCATTGATACTCCAACTTGGAAAGAGGTATTGTGAAAGTCTTTCCCAAGAACCCAACATAATGACCTAGCCTGGCAAATGTTATATACCTTGGCCCACATTGAAAGCAATGCTCAAGCAAAGCCCTACCTGTTGCACTTTGTGCCTCAACTGCAATCTTCACTCCTCGGTCCAAATACTCTATAACCTTCACAAAGTCATCTTCTTTGAAGTTACGGGAAGTGAGGGCAGGTGCACCTATCAAGAAAAGAACAGTCAATCCTACAATACAAGTTACTTGCTCACAATACAAACTACAGAAATCTGACCATGTACATAGTGATAATAAATCAAACCATCATTTGGGTTTAATTTAATGGTGCATGAATGTCATCTGGGAGGGGGGGGGGGTAGCTTGCAGTGCAGGCGTCTCATCAGGACAAGTTAACATTACAAGTTCATCATCATTTTATCCAGCCAGCCTAGTTTGATTTAGAGTTTATAGGGAACAGTAGGGGGAAAGGGCATGGAAAAGCAAGACATCATCTCCTCTCCTGTCTGTGGAGTAATAAGAAATAAAGTGGCCTAAATAGCCCGTGGAAAATTCACTTTCAGATCATGGTCATATTTAAAGAACAATCTTTGTACCTAATCTAAGTCCTCCAGGTTTCAAAGCACTCTTGTCTCCAGGGCAGGTATTTTTGTTTGCAGTGATTGATGCCATTTCCAGAACTTTCTCCACACGAGCTCCATCAATACCCTAATGAACAAAACAGCAACATCAATTTTGATCACCCCCCTTTAGAAGAATCGAATTTAACACTGTAAAAGTTAGTTATTTATCCAAGGTCTAACCTAAACCACAGTCTTATACAATCAGTGGGCCTTGGGCTCTCTCTATAAGAGGGTTGATATAAGCAAATAAATATCCTTCCACTGTCAGCTTTTGGCCTTCATGGCACACTTCACAAAAATAAATACTCAGATAACAGGTGCAGCTAAATTGGGGATTATTTAGGACATGGTTTTGTAACACAATGGCTAAACTTTTTTTAAATAATCAGAACTAGGTGTCTAATCCAAAAATATCATGTAATTTAGTGTTAACAACTAGGTTGAAAACGTAAATTAGCCACTGTAAAGAGTAAAAAAGCTGACGTTTCAAGCCTTAGCCCTTCGTCAGAGCGATTGGACGAATTTTCAACCTAGTTGTTAACACTAAATTACCTGCTATACTCTCCCACCGATGCAGCACCACAGTTTCTTTAGAAACTTACCCCTTTATCCAAAAATATCATGTTAACCCTTTAACTCCCAAGATCTGATTGTTAATTCTCCCCTCTAGCTGCTACACATTTCCTTCAAAATTAGCTCAGAGAATTTGGTGTTAGATCAAGAAAACAACTTTTACATGATAAGTATTCTCATTACCTGTTTGCTAGATAGTGTATGGATATTATTGGGAGAAGTTACCTCTCAATTGCTTGTGGGAGTGGAAGGGTCAAATAAAGCCAACCAGCAGGCCCTCATTAGAGCTTTGGCACAAAAGTTTGTATGCAGGAAAGTATGAGACCTTGAGAGATCTGCAAGGTGTCTACCCAGATCTCATGCAATCCTCTCCATGACTTGTCTCAAATCTTCCCACATGTAGAGAAACATTTGTCCTGTGGCACAGATAATGAGGACCTGCTTGCAAGCTATGGCATACACTGGTTCTCACCCTTGGTCTAAGATCAAGTAGAAGAAGATGGTTGTCTGTACCACCTGTAAATGAAACAACACAATAATTACATGTTAAAAAAATGAGTTGCTATTGCCAAAAAAAGGAATTTATTATGTTTGCCTGTAATTTTCATGGGACATCTACTAGTAAATAGGCTCTCAGGTATGTAACAAGCTAGTTAAGAGACTTATAAAAGGCTATAAGTACCTTTTACCATAAAAAAAGATCCTTACACAGAACAATAACAAATGAAGGGGTTTCTCTAAGCCTAACCTGACACTATAGAATATCCTAAATCAGTCAGAGCTTTAGCCATTGATTTGGCATTCTTTAAAACCTGAAGCTGATACTCTTTAAACATTGGGCTTTTTGCCTGAAAGAAAAAAAAAATTAATATAAATTTATTAAGTAAACCTCTATATCTCTACTACATAGAATCATTTTTACAATTTGACTTCATAAATCTATCCGTGAACAATTTAGAAAAAGTCAAGACTGCCTTGTCAGAAAGGCAAGAAAACCTCATCATAGAGTTTGTAACTTTCTGGTGTTTATATCTTTTGTAATTCTCTGAATGTGCAAAATCAGCACAAGTCACAGAAACTGAAGAGGATGACAACAAAAGAACCTGATCTAAATCTAAATGTGAATTGTAAACTGTAAAACTATGCCTTGATTGATGCCTGTCAAATGAGCTATTACACACCTGTTTCAATGCCACACCCACCCCAGCAATAGCATGGTTATGTGGCCCTCCCTGGAGAGATGGAAACACTGCAAAGTCGATGTTCTTGTCAAAATCATACATAATGTCTGAATGAAAGTCAAGGACTTGACCATATTTCCTGAGGACCTTAGTCATTTGCATAAATCTAATCTGATTTCTCCCTTTCTCTGTTATACTTAGCTGACACGCAAAAAAAGAGAAACAATCATCTTAACCCTTTAAGCCCTAAGAGTGACCAGCTTCTAATTTCTCCTTACAATATCACTCCTGAATCAAACATTAAAGTAACGGAAATCAAGGAAATGATCACCAACTTGTAAAGCTCTTGATTTTTAAAACAAATTCTCCTTGTCAGTGCTTTAGAAAGTGTATAGAGACCAGTTTGGAGAATATGTATACTGATGTTAGGGTGTAAAGGGTTAAAAATCATGAAATTAAGAGATCCTCGCAGCTAATTAGCTAATTAAATTTGTTCTTATAAGAACACTACTGAACTAGTAGTTGAAAATAGGACCTGAAAAAATTCAAACCTGTATGGGATTTGAACCCATGACCTTTGCAATACCGGTGCAGCACTCTACCAACTGAGCTAATAAGCCAACTGGGAGCTGGTCAATATGTTGGGTCAAATAAACCATCCAAGTGATGAATAATGATTTTAGATACCAGCTCCCAGTTGGCTTGTTAGCTCAGTTGGTAGAGCGCTGCACTGGTATCGCAGAGGTCATGGGTTCAAATCCCATGCAGCCCTGAATTTTTTTCAGGTCCTATTTTCAACTACTAGTTCAGTAGTGTTCTTAGCTGAGAGGATCTCTTAAATTCGTTTCTTCACCACAGTGCAAATATATGAATTTCATATATCTAAAATGGTTAAAAATCAATTCACTCATGTATATTCTAACTCCGCTCAGGTCACATCTGCTACCACCTGATGAGTAAAGTCCCTCAGATGCCAACATCAACATTTTAAAAACCAGAGTTGATCCACAAATAACTTCTTCTTAAGATATCAGTACATTATCCAGCCAACAACTGTACTTGGAAAATAACATCTCCCTGCAGATAGAGGGCATGAAATTGTCAAATTGCCCCCTCCCCCTGCCTCCATCTCACCAAGCAAGCTTTCACCATGTCAGGATCTAAGATGGTCATACCCACCATGTGGGTATGACCCACATGTGGGTTTGGGAACGATTTGGTCAAAGTAAGTTCTCTTGTTGCATATATACAAATCAAAGCACTACAGTTGTCAACAAACAAAACAACCCAAAAAAATTACAAAGGATATCTTTTCCAGTTTTCTTGTTTTTTCCTTTGACACCAACACGGTAAAAAATTAAACCAGCTCTGTAGATGAAGCCAAAAGAAATATTTCACTGAAATATTGAAGGACTCAAAAGGTTCATCTAAACTGTTTTTATCTTTATTTTTTTTAAGGAGTAAATGGAATGTAAATTTCTCCCAACTGGATCCAGCAAGACATGTGAATTGCTAAAGGAGAATCACTATCTGAATCAGTACCTGACAGCTCTTAGAGTCTTGTGAGTTGTTGATGTGACCACATGAGAGTGATCAAATGGACTTGGGATGACCTGCATAAATTTTAAATAAAGGGAAGACAATTCGATGAAAAAAAGAAAAAGACCTTGGAAGAGATCAAATTGGACACATACCCTCCAAGCAATATTATCTTTAAGGGATTCTGACTTCTTGAAACACACAATTCAAGGTGTTGTTTTAGTTTACGACAAAGTACTTCTTACCCCAGCTGCTACAAGGCCACTTATATGAGCCATATCTGCCAGCAAGACAGCTTTATGTTCATCAGCAATCTGTAGACAATAACCAAACATTAAGCAAAATTTCACTTAATTTTAGGAAAACAAACACTCTTTTTCTTATTTGTACAGTTTTCTAAGACAATACCTCTCTCATTCGCTCATAGTCATAAAGTCTTGAGTAGGCACTGGCTCCTGCGATGATCAGTTTAGGACGGAAAAGACGTGCAGTTTCTTCTAATTTGTCATAGTCTATTAAGCCTGTCTCTTCCTGAAACACATCACAGCAAAGTGCAGAACTAAAAGTCAGTTAATAGAGTTAATGAACTGATTTTCTTACACATTTTGCAATTCTTTGACTTCTTTTACAATACACTCCAAAAAAAATAATACAATGGAAAAAATGACAAAATTTCAGTTGTCTACAAATCCTAGGAGTAGGAACCCTTGTAAGGTAAAACCCTTCCATCCAGAAAAATACAAAAAAAAAACTTAAAAAAACATTTCATAAGCTGAAAAGGCTGCTTAATGACACAAAAAGTAACAGCTTGCAGTCATTATTATTGGAAATTAGTGTAGGGTTACTCACATTAAGCCTGTATGGCATTGACTCAAAATAGATTGAAGTTGCTGAAATCCTCTTAGTATCAGTCATGAAGCCATGAGTTAAACTGTGACAAAAGATCAGACAACAGATTACTGTCTATCATACAAAATTATCACCAAATAGTTAACCACTGTCTGGCCTAAATGGAGGTTTGGTGCCTGTATTAATGTATTCAAACTATTTTCTTTTCATTTATAAATGCTTCACAAACACCATCATGAAGAATTTGTGACATATGGTTTCACAATGACCCCCTAACTCTCATGATCAGATACTATACCCATCCCCTGATCTTGTTGATACATTTATCTATTCTCATTTCCTATGACTGGATAGGATACTAAAATTGCAAAGAGAATTTACATGTTAACATCAAATGTTCAAACTTACTGTCCCCCGTGAGGCAAATCAAGCCCCATTATTCTGTCATGTGGCTTCAAAAGACCAGTGTATGCAGCAAAATTAGCAGGTGACCCTGAAATGAAATTGCCATGATAATACAATCAAGTATAAATGTGTCAACCCTTAACACTGTCACCCTAACATCAGAATGCATATTCTCCATACTGTTCCCCAAACATGTCCTTTGCTGATGACTAGGAGAATTTGTTGAACAATCAAAGCTTCTGAGGTTGGTGATCATTTCCTTTATTCTCATGATCTTAATGAATGATTCAGAAGTATTATTGTAAGGAGAAATTAGATGCTGGTCACTTGCAGGGTTTAAAGTGTCACAAGGACAAAATGAAAGCAATCAGCTTCAAAAACAGCCCTCAATATTGCAACCGTCTTGGTGACCATGTCAAGTGTCCATGATTTAATGTTAAAGTAGGAGAAACATTTGTGTGAAGAATTTTACAATATTACACAAATTTTCTTCCCAATTTTTTTTTGTGGCTTAGTTTTATATCTGTCAACCATTTACTGTTTCTAGCATGCCAAATAGTAACTTAAAAAAAAGGAGAACTATATCTGATTTCAAAGACCAAGACTTTGAGGCATAATTGTCTCTTGTTTCTGACAAATCTTTACCTGAGTATGGTTGAACATTCACACCCCACTCTTTTGGATCCAGATTAAAAGCTTCAAGTGCTCTCTTCTGAACAAGCAGCTCAATTTTATCAATTATCTGTGTTCCTCCATAATATCTGTAAAAGAAAACCACCAGTTTAAGTGAAAAAGGATTTGTAAAGTAAACAAACCACCACTCTTTTTTGATACCATTCTGGTTGCCATAGCCAGTGGAAAAAAAATTATTACCAGAATAAAATTGCAAATGAATGAAAGTTGTTTATTTGGCAACAAGTATTCTGCAGTCGTGTATTAAGTTGCCAGTTTTTATCATCACTGGGACATCAGAGCCTATAGTTTATGCTAAAAAAAAGGTAAACTTGCATGCAGCACTGATATGCTCTAACCGCCATTGCCCTTTGAGAAAAAATAGCCTTCTTCTTCCCAGTTGACTTGGTATTAACCCTTGAGAAGTCCCATGAAGCTCCAAAATGATTATTGGTTGTATTGCTTACTTTATTGATTAACAGGGTACTGGGTAGTCAGCATAATATATTGTACAAAGTTTCCTTTCTTCTGGTAACTTGAATCTTATTTCTGATGATTATTTTTTTATTGTAAGCCACCAAGAGACAACTTAAAAAATTTGAACAATATCGATTCAATTCTAACTCAATGAATGGGCTAACACTCAAAACATCAACTATAGAAACTTTTTACAGTGGCCAGTTTACATTATCAACTCATTTGATAAAACTTAATTATTTTGTAACACCCCCCACTGACTGAGCACTATAGTTTCTATACAAACTTACCCTTTTATGAAATGGTTATGTCAACCCCAAAAATTATCATGCATATTAAATTCTGTGTGGGTTAATTCAGTTGTATTCATGAGTCCAATGACAAAATGTTACTTGAGATAAGAAAATAATTTACCTTTGACCAGGGTATCCTTCAGAATACTTGTTGTTTAAACAAGATCCCATGGCCTCTAGGGCAGCACGACTGCAGAAGTTCTTTAAATAAACATTAAAAATCAGTTATTTGTAGATTGATTGTCACTCCACACAGGGACTGCACTCTTAAAATGCTATTAATACAGTAGTTTGGAACTCAACCAATTAAGCCTTTCATCACTTATGCAACAGGAAGAGGAATCAGGCAATCAGTGGGAAAATTGACACTCAAGTCGATCGACTTTCTTCGTATGTCAATTGGCGCGTTTTACCTATACTTTAGTGGGACGTTCTGAAGTTTGTTGTTAAATTACGAGGTCTAAAGTTGCAAAATGAAAGTTTTCTTTTATCCCACATAAATAACATGTAGAGAATCACTTTGTTTTTCGATGATCCAAACCAGAACAACTTTATTTATACACAACTTCGAAACAACATCTCAGACTCTTCAACTTAAACTCAAAATGGTCATTCTTTCACTCTCATCTTTGAAAATTCCAGTTATAGAAATACATCGCAGCTATAGAGATACATTATGAAACAAACTAGATATTAATTCCCACACAAAAATAGAAATTGCAATTAAGTGTAAAAGTAAACCAATAGGGATTGTTAACAAATGAAAAACACTTCAAAATAAGCATACAGTTAATAACAAAACAGAAATTAATTCCCACGCAAAAATAGAAATAGCAATTAAGTGTAAAAGTAAACCAATAGGGATTGTTAACAAATGACAAACACTTCAAAATAGGCATACAGTTAATAACAAAACAGAAATTAATTCCCACGCAAAAATAGAAATAGCAATTGAGTGTTATGGATATGGAAACAATAATTGAAATTTTTCTTTACCTACAGGCAATCAGTGGCAAAATTGACACTCAATACAGTAAAAATCATTATCATTGTTATGAGGTCGAAGTTGCTAAATGATACCAATATACATATAGGGTGGATGATCCAAACCAGAACAACTTTACTTATACACAACTTCAAAACAACATCTCAGACTGTTCAGCTTAAACTCAAAATGGTCATTCCTTCACTCTCGCCTTTGAAAATTCCAGCTTTAGAAATACATTGCAGCTATAGAGATACATTACGAAACAAACTAGAAATTAATTCCCACACAAAAATAGAAATAGCAATTAAGTGTAAAAGTAAACCAATGGGGATTGGGATTGTTAACAAATGACAAACACTTCAAAATAAGCATACAGTTAATAAAAAACCAGAGATAAATTCCCACGCAAAAATAAAAATAACAATTACCCAAGTGTAAAAGTAAACCAATAGAGATTGTTAACAAATGACAAGCACTTCAAAATAAGCATACAGTTAATAACAAACCAGAAATTAATTCCCATGCAAAAATAGACAGAGCAATTAAGTGTAAATCATAAGGGATTGTTAAGAAATGACCAAAAAAATAAGACAGTTATAACAATTAAGTGCAAAAAAGTAGCAATTAATCATAAGGGACTGTTAAGAAATGACCAAAACTTCAAAATAAGCAAACTGTTAATAACTAACCAAAAATTAATTCCCATGCAAAAATAGAAATAGCAATGAAGTGTAAAAGTAAATCATAAGGGATGGTTAACAAATGACAAACACTTCACAACAAGCATATATAGTTAATAACAAACTAGAAATGAATTCCCACGCAAAAATAGCAATAGCAATTAAGTGTAAAAGTAAACCATAAGGAATTGTTAACAATTGACTAACACTTCACAATAAGTATACAGTTAATAACGCCCAAAAGAGAGACATTTATAGAACTTAATCACTTATAACAAAGTTAGAATTTTCTCGAAAATCTAAACACAATTTTCATAACAATCATCATCATTAGCGTCATCATCACAGTATGTATTATTTTCCCTAGGTGTGCAGTGTAGTAGAAAAAGAAAAAAATTTCATTTCAGACCTCAGAGGCAATGAGTTCAAGCCCCCTAACTTGACGATCCTTTTCCTGTTGAATCAAGTTGTACATTTCAGGGTCGTCATCTTCAAGTTTCTCTTGGCCTGTCCATATAGTGGCCCTCATTGACACAGATCGGCAAAGAGACTGCAACGCTGTGCTGCTTAGGAGACTATCATAACAGGGCTGTGAATGAAATGAGAACTTAATGGTTAGAGGGCTTTCTATAACCTTCTCAGACTAGGAGTAACCAAAGGAAATTTCTCCTCATGGTAAAAATACAGTTACAAGCTCAAAGGACAACATAACGAGTAAGTAAAATACCGACCAGGAGACACCATTTGATTTAACAACAAATTCTCATGTTAAATTAAAAGAAATGTATGGCACTGGTGAGGAGAATTGAAATTTAGATCTTAGTAAGGAATAGGTTAAAGTTATGTTGAAAGTCTGTCAAATAATGATGAATGATTTTTCAGTTAAAAACACCCCGCCACACCATTCACTCAAATGCTTTGTGTAAAAGAGTACATGCATCCCACGTCGGTACCCAGAGAGGTACTTCCGTTAAAGACGTTAAGATGGGAAAGTGTTTCAGCTATGAAATGGCTTTTCGTCACTAAATTTCCGTCCCAACTGCACTTGAATTATTTGAAAAGAAAATTTTAACTTTTATTTTAAACGCTCATTGCAATATGTTCATGTGTGTATGTAACCACTTTATTCAGAAAAAGGTGAATTAATTTAATCAGTGATTTTACTCACATGGGGGTAAACTAGCACTTAAGCTAAGAGGTATACAAAGAATTAACGTGTAAAATTTTGAAAATTGAACAGCAGAGGTAAAAAGTTTAAACAAAGCTAGATTTTAAAATATCACAGATTCTTGGTGAAGAACAACCTTAAATAACGATGTATTTTCTAGATTTTCACGATTGTGCAATAAGTCTCCTTCGTTATTCAGCTGTACGAAAAATTATTGACTCGTCCTATGCAAGATTTTTTACGCGTACGAAATAATTCACTAGCAAAATCAGTCTTGAAAATACACTTACCTTAAGTGATCCGAGTTTACGCGTCAAAGAAAACATTTCTAAAGCTTATAATGAGGGAATAAATTACAAAAATAAATAAAAAGCGCTCGCAGAAGTGATGTTTCCCGAAATTTTACTGAAGCCGACGAGGAGCAAACGGGCCTGCTGTAGTAATGGTCAGTGGTAAGAGTACAAATCGAACGAAATATTCTCCTCCCCTCCCCTCATAGTTTTAGAATTTATTTCGTTCCAGGCTTTTCTCGGTTTTCCGCGGTGTAGACATCCGCTTCGTTCCGCTCTTCAAATTCTTTACACGAGGCGTTTTAAAATTTGCCGAGCTTTCATCGTTGTTTGCAGTTTTCTCACGGGTCAAACGCATATTGCTGTTTTACAAACATTTCAAGCTATCCGTGACATCTCCTGGGTTTCAAACAAGAGGCCTTTTTTTGGACATTATGCGGCTTTTTTCACCGTGCAGGTGGTAGTGTATCGTAAACAGACTTGGTAAGTTAAGCGTAACGTGTTTTGTACGTGATTGAAGTTGAGGACAATGGGCAGTTAAAATTTTCAAACCACCGACAGATTACTCCGACACCCAGGAGTTTATTTCGCTATAGTTTTAAGGACCACTTGAGAGCATTTAACTTTTTTTTGCATGGAGAAATTGCAGTGAAGTTTCGATGCTTTTTGGTTGTTTCGAATCGCGGGAAGAAGTTCACTTCGTGGTCGTGGGAAAAAACTCATGTTTATCGTATCAAAGAATGTGAAAACTGCGTAAGTATTTCGAGACCTGATGGTAAAGTTTGATAGCGTGAACTTTAAGTAGCCTTGTTTTAGCACGGGTGAGGACTAAAATCCCTTACTTTACGTCGACATAGGTTTTTTTGAAAGGTAAGTGTCGAGATGCCGGTCACACGAAACAGATTTTTCCCTTTCATTTGTTGATTTTTATTTATCAGTCAAGGTCAATTTTTCTAACTGTTCGGTGGCATATACTGCCGCAGCTGAGTAGTCACTGTGTTTAAAGGTTGGTACGTCTTTCAAAGTGATGAATTATTCACAAAATTATCTCATTTCTCACATGCAGGGGTCGGTGCATAACCACAAAGCCGGATTCCACTCATCTCCCTTCACTACGAATTACGAAACGCCCAAATCGTGAACAACGAAGAGTACTTTCGAGGGCGAAGGTCGTTTTAGTGGTTATCTTGTCTAAATTTTGCTGCACAATATCGGACCAAGGACTGTAAAATCAATATATAGTATTTTATAGGTGACGAAATCTGCTTCATTCAATACGGACGTCGTCTGACTCGAGCAATTCAGCACGTTTGTTCGTTCACCGTATCTCGTGCGCCGGTAAAGCGATCGAATTTGTGGCGTTTTGTAAGAAGATGAATGGTAGTATTCTTTTGAATGGAAGTCAGAGATCAGAATTAGTTATTTTAGTCAAGGGAAAACGATATAGACCTGTTATGGCTTCTGCTCCCGCAAACAAGGAAAATGTCTCTCCTGAGAAAGACATGGAGTGTTTGTCAGACAGTTTCCAAAAGAGTCTTACAATGAATCATGTCGAGAAAGATGGACGTTATTTTCTGGATGTAATGGAGAAGGAAAGCGAACGATTAACGCGGCTTTGTCAAATTGCAGAACAAGAGATGGAGAGTAAATCGCTTCCAGAAGACGGTAAGATATTTTGAGATTATTGTTGGGAAAGTGTACAATGTATTCGATGAAAGGTACGCTTTTGATTCTCGGAGGTGTACCCAAAGACTAGTTTCACCACTTTTGCGTAATCATTTTTGCAGAAAATATCTATTCGAAGCTATCCTTATGAAATTTCAAATTGGATAGCCCCGTTCGTGTTTACTTTTGCTGTCTTCGTGTTAATTTCTGGCTATGTGGTTTGGTCTTAAAATTTCATAAAGCGTTACTACAATTTTTCTACATTTATTTACTGGCGAAGGAAAAATTACCGTTCTCAAATCAAAGGAGGAAGAACTGTATTCACTCTTTAATTTGTAGGTGGAAGAGTTTATGCACCGTATCATCAGCTGTTGCAACGAATCTGCATAGCACAAGTTTAATGTCAAAAAATTTAGCTCTCAAATTTTCGTTGTGTATTTAACATCCTGTGATCCAACTGTTTTTTCAAGAGGCTTGACAATCATGCTCTAAAAAGTATCTGACATGATGTGTGAATGCAGATCTGGGGCATGTACCAACAATAGAATTTACCGAAGAAGGGAGAATTTTCAACACTAATCAGCTGTTTACATCTAAAATGTCCACACCTTAAATTATTGTCCATCATTTCCAGCTGGGAAATATTGGGAAATGAAAAAATGTTACAAAAATGGTTATGTTGAGCTCCTCATAACTTTCTTAGTGTCATTTTGAGGAATATAAAATTTGATATTTATTTTTTCATTTTACATGTCTAGCTGGAAGAAAATTGCTCTTTATTTATGCAAATCAGTGTTACGTGAATATTATTTTAAGTTACCTTTTTAATGCAGAAAAATAGTTAGCAAATCCTTAACTCAAGAAATCATAATTTTTACTTAGAAAACAGATTAAAGTTTATCTCATTTTTCTCTAAGTAAATTCAAACTAATTGATGTTATCAAATTGCAGTTGTGCTTTCAATTTTGATGTTACGTTAGTAATTTGACTATTTATTGTGTAGTTTTGTAGTAAACCTCGCCCACAATATATTACTTAAACTTGGCGTGAGTTACATCACAACAACATTTTTAATGATTTCAAAATATTTAATTGTTTTGATGGTAGTTACTAGCTACATGTAGCGACCATAGATAAGATCTGTTTGTTAAATTTCATACTTTCAGATGAAAGTATACTATAGTAAGTAACTTGTGACCAGTTTCATATTTGGTCAAAGTGACATTTCAACTAGCAATTGACTCCTTCCAGTCATTTCTGCTCATGAATTTTTTTCATGAATACTAGATGTGTGTAATTGTGATTGTTTGTCTCCAGACACCGTCAGCTGCATAGATTATTTTACCTTCATAAAAATACCATTCCTTTACCTATACTGCTTTATCACAAGTTTCAAAGAATATCCTTCAAAGGAAAAAAGTACAGGAAAGCTTTCATAAATTGATATTGTGCATTTGAGGTTACTTGTTGCAATATATTGCAAAGGAGCTAGGTTGTCTACTAAGTCTTCACTTGACCTGAATTTCAGGTTTTACCTTACTAAGTTGCCTCATCTACAGATCTGGCTCTTAATGATACCAAAACAGAGTCTCAAACAAATCAAAACAGATTTGCTCAGAAAAAGTTTGGGTAAATGGGAACATGAGGTCTTTGTGAAGAGCAGATACAAAATTAAAAATTGACAAACTAAACTGTAGCTAAAGAAAACTTAACCCTTTACACCCTAAGATCAGTATGCACATTCTCCATACTTTTTTCTATACATTTCCTAAGGTGCTGATAAGGAGATTTTGTGTAACAATCAAGAGCTCCTGTACTTGTTGATCATTTCCAATGTTCTCATGACCTCAATGTTTGATTCAGGGGTGATACTACAGAGAGAAATTAGATGTTAGTCACCTTTAGGGGTTAAAGGGTTAAATGGATAAAAGGGGTAGGCTTCTAAAGAATTTGTGGTGCTGTATCAGTGGGGGGGGAAGGGGGCATCAAAGATAATTTGGTTTTATCAACGGAATCATTAACTAAAGGTTAATTGGTTACCACTATGTTCGACCTTAGTCTCTGATGAAGAGCTAACCCTTGAAATGTCGCCTTTCAAAACTTTTTACAATGGCCAATTTACATTATCAACTCAGTTGATGAAAACCAAATTAAGCATGCTTGGATAGTTAAATCAAACAATCAGCTCTTTGGTTTGTATCAGCTCTCGATAATTGTATTATGATAGTGACTCTCACATGTTGAGGAAAGAATCTTTCATCGACTCTTTTTATGGAAACTACATAAATCTCTGTTGTACACAAATGCCATTCCGACAAGCTTTTCTCTCTGAGACAATTAGACAATCCCAGTGACCTCAGCTTTAACAAGACCCCTGTAGGTCTCTTAAGCAATACCAAAACCAACTATCATATTGAGATTTGTCATCAAAACAAAGGTAACTCTCTGCTGAACAGTAATTTTTACTATATAGTGGATAGTGTTGGTCACCTTCAGTGTTGTAGTGCTTAAGATGATGTTATAGTAATAGCCATTAATTTTTTACTGTGTTATTGGGAGATATTATCCATTTATTTGGAAAATAGCCTTAATAATACAAATGTTTTGTCAGAATTTATACTTTAAACCTTTTCAGTTTGGCACACTGTAATGTGGGGCTAAATTTTTAGAATTGGTGTTTCATCACGGATACCATATTTTGTATTGTCGCTCTCAATATATATCTTGGGACATGTTTCCTGTAGAGCATTGTTACTATGGATTTTTTCTTAGTGACACTTTTCTCAGAGTTAAATATTGAATTCTTAAATATTACTTTAGTCTAGGTTTGTTTAAGATAATTTTTGTTGGTATTTAAATGAGAAATATTTTCCCTGTGAGTATTATTGAGGTTTATGAATTTTGAATGCCTTTTTTGAGAGTAAAAAAAAAAAAGAGACATTTGTTAGAATATTTAAAGCCAACATAAAAAAATAATTTGTGATATTGTACTTTGTAAAGGTTTTTATCAAATATTCATTTTTGTCGGCATCTTATAAAGTTTTCCCTTTAGGTATTGATATTGAGGTTTAGGAATTTGGAATTCCCTCATGGAAAGACAGAAATGATTGTTTTACAAAACTTTATTGTCAAGTCCACAAGTAAATTCCACTCAAGATGTGTTTTAAAATAATTTGTGATGTTGCCCCATGCTTGTCACATACATGTATGGACTTGTAATGTTCTTTCCATTCTTAAAAATGGATACAATTTAACATCCATATGCTTGATATTAGACCAAAATATTTTTGAGCCAGTATATTGAGATAAGAGAAGGCTTAAATTAAACACAGACTGATGCATTGTGATGTTGAAAAAAGGTTTTTTTTTTTGCCTTTGTGGTTTTTTGTTTCCTCCAGTTTCATTAGATGCTGAATATCATATTGCATATTGAGACAGCTATTGATTCAATATATTCTGTTTTTTATTTACTTTGAATTTCATTTCATAAAATTGTATCAACTTTTTTTTGACAATCACAAATTCTAAATTCAAAAATCATTTTTAATGCACAATTATGAATTTTTTTCTTTGAGTACTTTATGGAGTGGTTAAATTTGTTTGAGTATTCAATGGATATCAAAACCAGGGTGACATGCAACTGTTAACAATTTTAAAATATTTGTGTGTTGTTTCTCTCTTTCTCTCCAAGCATGTGGGAAAATTAGAGCAGCCAATGGCAAGGCCAAGCTTTTGGTCAATAAAAAGTTCAAGCAATTCAAAGGACTATGTGATACAAACTTGGTAAGCTTTGTGAGAAAATTTGACGCAGTCTATAATATTGACTGTACGGCACAAGGGTTAAATCCAGGGGTTACACCCAGCCTTGTAGCTGATTGTTCAAGGTTACAGGAGAATTTTATTACGAGACAAATTATCTCCACCTGACTCTGATGATGACTTCTGCTTAGGTTCCTAAGGCAACAGTCAATTGCTGTCTCATCAATAGTCCTTTTTTAAGGCTAACCTTACACAGCCCCCCTCCCTAAGATATTTACCCTTCACAATCCAATATTAGCTTTGTAACAGATACATTGGGCCACAATTGGACTTGTCCGTGGTTCAAGAACCATTCACAAGTGAAGTTGAACAAAGACAAGCACTGAGTCAAAACAGTGGAGTTGAGGAAAATAACAGTGATTAACAAAAGGAAAAAAAATGAAGAATTTCAGAGATTTTTATGCTGAGGCAAACTCAGTGTTTAGCTGTGGGCTTGGATTTTTGAGTAATTGTTTTTTTGATTGATTTACTAAATAGTCATCTTTCATGACCAAAACTGTATTTTAGTTTGTTTTTTTTTTCAAACAAAGTACAGTGAATGGTAGTTTTTCCAATTGAGAATATTGTGAGAAGATTGTTCCTTACCTGACTGGTTAATAGTTTATTTCATGCTTCTTTTTTTTTTTTAGGGTGTTGGTGAAACAAATGGTAGAAGGCCTACCAATGGGGATCTTGCAGGTTTCTGGGATATGGTTATGATTCAGGTATGACTCTTACTATTTTTTTTATGGTAAGAGGATAACATGAAGTCCAAAGTCAAATTAACTTTTTTGCATGCACCATGCCTTACACATGCACAATGCATTTTTATAACCCCAATAAAATTGTGAAATCATATCCTCTTTTGTAGGTTGATGATGTGAACAGCATGTTCTCCAAGATTGATGAACTACGTAAAAATGGATGGACCCTACCACAGACATCTACTGATGAGGTAGAATATCATCACTAATTATGTCTGTACTTCAGGGTGAAAAACGTTTTCCTTGACTAAGTTTTGCAGTCTAAAAGTGTAGCCCTCACTATGTTGTATTTATGTATGTGTATACTTTTACTCTACAGACTGATTTTTCAAAACGCTCTTCATTAACACGTCAGTCGTCACTAACGAGGCAATCATCAGTAGGGAAAGGTTCGATAAGGAGGCAAAAATCCAAAGAAGAAGTGAAAGCTTCTGAGGCTGAGCAGCGAGCAGCAGCACGACAAAGGTTAGCTGCTGCAAAACGAACAGCAAGACAAAGGATGCAACAGAAAAGTAATCCTCTGGACAATGTAGAAATATTTTGTTCACCAAAAAAGTAAAGTAGTTATTTGAAAGAGAATGTTAAGAGTCAGAGTATAGTTTTAGAAGCATATTTATTGAAGAATTTTTTTAAATTGGAGTACTGTAAGATGCCATTTAAAGTTATTACTGAAGGTCTTTTCCAATTTGCCAAAATAAATACATAGTTAAATGATAAGAATTAATTTGTAAAGCTTTCAGTGCACAGGATGTTAACTTATTATCAGGATTTTCATCTCTAAAGTTTGACAGATACTTGTTTTGAAGGACTGTGAAAAAAGCTCAAGCCACATTGACATGTAGTTATTATTGTCACTTCATTTAAACAACGGAGTATGAAGAAATATGCTTTGATAATCATATAGTTTTTATCTCTACTTCTAAAATAGATCAATGGAATTTAACTCTGATCATTTTTTTAAGGTTCTGAAGAGTAAGCTGATGGTTTAAAAAATTGTCTTAATTGTGCTCATAAGAAAAAACTTGGTCCTATCTTTTCCATCTCTTGACAATATGTTTCAAAACAGAAGTTTTTTGTCAACTGTGAGTCATTTGGGCTTGTAAATTTATGTTCATGTAGTTCAGATTACTGAGTTGTTTTCAAAATGGTGGCAACCATAGTTGAATTTTTAGCATGTTTGTAGATCATTTTGAATATTCAGGTTACTCTTTGAAATCCTAAAACATGGCCAGTACCAGCAATTTTTATATATACTTTGAAATGGCAGCGATAAAAATTATCTGGTTTCGTAAGCATGCTTCTTTAATTTTGCATATCTGACCAGTGATCTATACTTTTAGCCTCTAAACATTGGTCTTTATTGAGCTAACGCCCCCTGCTAGGTGAGTTTTCTTTCATCTCATTAGCCATTTCCTTGGCAATGAAATTTGAAGAAAGAGAAATGTTACCTATTAATTATTCTTTGAAGTTAAAAGGCTAAGATGTTAATTTAATACAAGGGTGTAGAGGTGTTTGGTGTTACTTAAGTCTTGAAGACATGGCTACACTCAGAAAAACAATATGTAAGGCCAAATTACAACTCTTGAAATTTCATGTTCACCATTAACTCATAATTCATTAGTGGAATCATATCGCATATGGGGAATGTAAATATGGGCAGTGGAACATGATAAGAAATTTCTGCTTCTAATTTCCATTTTTACTTGGTCTTTACAGATGTGTGCATTATAACTTTAAACATTATATTATGAACATTTTTGAGATCAGTGTTGAAAAAAATATATTTATTTGCATTTTTTTGTTGGTGGAGAAATATGAGAACGTTGGTGTACCACTTATGTCCTGCTAGTGAAAGTAGCTTCAGAGTACAGTTTTCTCATGCCTTTTGTAGTTGTGGACATAGTGGAAGGAATGTGAACCCCATTATCTCACTTTAAGGGATAGTTTGGAAAAAAATTTAAAGAGAGGTTTCAAAGCTGTATTACAGTGAGGTGAAATTTTAGATACTCTTTTGTAAATTATAAAAACTAGTTTATAGTCTTTGTGTTCTACTATTAATTTTTTTTGTTCTTACCAGTAAGTTTAGATTAAGGAGGGGAAGTGTTAACAACAACCCTACATGATTATTTATCGTGTTAAAATAAATTTGTTGTGCAATGGCTTTTTTAGTGTAGGTCCCTGGATCAATTTAGAGTTGTTTTGTCAGAAGTAAGAATATCCATATAAATAAAGCAGCTGAATAAATCTGAATAAATTCAGGTGTCTTTTTAGAGCAATGTAAATTTTCTTCACAGTGTTGATTTGTCATCAATGCTTGTGATTTGAACACCAAGTTGCCAGGGCTGTCTTGTGACAAAGTGTATGGCAGACAGTGAAGAAAACTACTTTCAAGGTCTTTAGGTGAAAGTGTCAATCATTCAAAGTCTAAGCAATAACTAATATTGATGTATCTGCCACCTTCCAGTGTGACTGTTCTTAGCACTTCTCAGCCGAGATCTTAACTTAACAAGTCATTGAGTTTGTTAGTATTTATTGTAAACAATGAGTAAATCTCACAGATTACTTCAATGTTGTCAGCAAAGATTATTCTTTCAAAGTTCATTTTAAATATTGTAATTTTCCACCTAGAGAATCTTGTGTTGATGGAAGGAGTAGTTGTGTATGCATAAGTTTAATCTCAATTTTACAGGTTTGTATAATTTTGAAGTTTATTGAACTACTTTGCAAACTTTGCTTGTAAAAAAAATGGTTATATCTCCTTCAAAATTAGAAGCAGAATCAATGGAATTGCATGCTTCATGTTGCTTGTTTGAATTTATCATTCTAAGATTTTTCATTTTGTCTTTATCATATTAATCATAATTATCATGACACTCTGGCTAGTATGTAGTCAAGAAATGGAGAGGATAAAATAAAGTTGTTTCTATTGGGATTCCAACCTTTTGTCTTGAATACCTCTTGCTAACCGAGTTCAAGGTTCTTGGATGTATTGCAACTTACAAAACAAGTTTTTTTCTGTTCTGGTTCGTTTCCCAAGTGTGAAGTGCACAGACTATAAATGCAAGCAGAAAAATAAATTGAAATTTGGTAACTTATTGTCCAGGGCCCAGTTGTTCGAAGGCTGTTTAGGGCTAATCCAAGGTTAAATTTAATCTGGGTTTCTTTATTCCTTTATTCAAAAGCCTTTTGGGTTAATTTCCTGTCTTATTTTTAGAGCATCAAATAATCATATTCTAGACAAAAAGAATTTGACTGAATTTTCTTTTGAAGCTATCAGATCTGAAATCAGATTTTACACTAACCCTGGGTTATCTTAACCCAGCTTTGAACAACCCGACCTAGACCAAGAAAATCAGGTTAGCAAGATATTTATTACACATCTGGGTTTTAATAGAGGAGGAAAATTTTAATTTGAACAAAATTTTGAATATAATGGGCTGTGCTAGATTTACCAATCCAAGCACACCTACTTACTGAAAGACATGACAGTGGATCTTATAGGATACCTACAGGTTTTGGAAAACCTGGGAAGTAGTGGAATTTTTACAATTTTTTTTTGATGCGGGAAAAGATGGAATTTGGTGTGGATCAGAAAAAGTTATTGTAAATATACTGTACAAAACAAAGTAAAAAGTACTGTTATTACCTGATGGTTTTCAAATTGAAATTGCCCTCTGCATTGCAAACGATATAATGGTGATGACATTAAACAGTAACAACTTAGACTGCAGTTCAAATATATGATATTCATATATTTACAGTAATATATCCACCACTTCAAGGGTTTATTTGGAACCAACATGATGACCAGCCCCTACTTGGCTTGTTAGCTTGGTTGGTAGAGCACTGCACTGGTATCAAGGAAGTCATGGGTTCCAATCCTGTACAGGCCTGAATTTTTTTCAGGCCTTATTTTCACTACTACTTAAGTGGTGTTCATAACTGCAACTATCACCTCCATTTGGGTTTCTTCAACTGCAGTTCACACATATGATTTTCATACATTAACAGTCAGTCATTCATTCAGTAACTTTATCTAATGGGAGTCGAATATAACTGTTTTCTCTCTCATTATTACCTTGACCTTCTTACAATCTATGTCAAGAACAAGCACAAAAAAAAATATACAGTAAACTAGAACATTGAAATAGTCCTAAAGCAGTTAAAGGAAAGTAACGGAAAGTTTTATAAGGCAAAAAGAGTGTAGACATTGTGTGTTCAATGCAGTGTTCTTATTTTCAGGCAGTAACCAATAAAAAAGTACCGCCTGTAGTACCTCCTATCATTGCCTGAAATTGCCTGGAATTCTTGAAAATTCAGCAGGTAAAAGGATTGCTTTACCAGTTTAAAAATTTCTTCAGACTCGGCAAAATAGCGAGAACACTATAAATGCAAATCCCCTAAACCCTTCAAACAATGTTAAACAGCATTAGAACTAAAAAAAACTTGCAGACCATATACGCAATGAGCAAAATGGCATATTAATTTCCACAGTAATGAACATACAGAAGTTTAGAAGTTTAAGAGTAACAAACAAAACTAAAAGCTTGAAAAAGTAATTTGATTTTGTCATACAACCTTCATTATATCAAAAGATATATTCTTGATAAGATAAATATTAAATAAAAATTTGAGATCAATTTTTCTCTTTAACTTGAAATTTACCACTGTCCCTAGTATTAACACACCAGTGAAAAAAACAAAATTGAACAATTCAAGTAATTGAAATAAGGTAGCAATGTATCATGAGAAATAATTTTCCCATTTTCAATTTTATGGTGTGTTGGTGTACACAAAGAAGAATGTCTTAAGTCAATAACAGTAATTAGATATAGTACAGTTTGATTCAGTCCGTGATCATACAATTAATTTGAAAGAAGAAAGGGAGTCTCCTTTTGTCAGTAACCAGGGCCAAGCTTGTTTGAAGGGTGGATAACACTATCTACTGGTTAAAATCTCTATCTCATTGTTAGCGCAATATGTTGTGTTGGCATTTAACTACCAGATAGCAAGGCCCCTATTAAATAACATTATCTGCTCATTGAAAAACTGGGCTCAGTATTTTTACAGATAGAATTACTATTCACCAAGACCCAGTAGTTTGAAGGCCGATGAGCACTAATGCAGGGTTAACTTTTAATCCAGGTTTCTTTATTCCTTTGTTCAAAAGCCTTTTTGGGTTATTTTCCTCTATTCTTTTTAGAGCATCCAATTATAAAATTAAAGACAAAAAGAATTGCTAGTATGCTCAATTTTCTTTTAAAGCTCTCAGATCTAAAATTAAATTCTACACTAACACTGGATCACCTTAACCCAGCTTTGAACAACTGGATCTGTTACTAGCCCAAGACACCCTACTGAGTCCAGTACATCTAATCACATTGTACAAATTCTACTTTTACCAGTTTATCAAAACTGACAAAATTTGAGAAAAAAACACTTGTCAGTGACATTCAGTCATAAGTAGAAACACATCAGCTGATGCAATTACTATAAAATGAAAAGGCACGACTAGCAAGATGCAATATATGTTCTATAGCCATCATGCTATCTAATTACAATCATGATATATACTCTGTCCTATTACTGCTAAAAATTGTGCTACTGATAACCAATCACATGTGAGAATATTGCATGATTATAGTTTTGATTGATAATTACACAAAGCAGAACAAGAAACTTGCTTAGGGTATAGGAGTTAAATAACAATTTACAACCCCACAGCATAACCCAGGTGTCATGCATCTACTGGTTGGGTGTCCTGCTACACTCGGCGGTAGACACCCACTTGACGGTTGCAGTTAGGACAGGAATGGATAACATCCTTGAGAGCATCAATACAAAATGGAATCAGGCAACATCCAAGCCAACCACTGCAAGGACAAAACAAAAATTTTCAAAACAAGTCAAATCTAATGACTTTATTTATTTAAAAGATCACTACATTTGTATGGGGGATTGAGTTCAACTGGCCTTATTCTAGACCAAGAATAGATTGGAATGCCCTGAATTTCATTTGGATTGAATCAATATTCTTGTGTGAGGAAATAAAAGAATTGTTTAATTAAAAGATTGCTGTAAAAGATTGTTAAAGTAATGATTGCTGTAAAAATGCAAAGCAGGGTGAGCAGCTGGTCACCACAAGAACTGATCATTAGGGAAAAAGGAAGGGCCTTGCACAACATAATCATTAGTATTGTAACTAACAGAGTAATTAGTACCTTATTGTACGTTAGGTAACATAATTAGCAGTATTGCTGTAGGTATCATAGATTGTATTTAGTAGTATTGCATTGTTTACTCCGTAAATATTGTCTCGGTAATCGGAATAGCAAAATTCAGAACAAAAAAAGGTTAAAAAAACCTCGTCAAGTTGAAAGCTCAACAGCTGTGTAAGCCTTGACTCCAGTTCACATTTTGTCACACAAAACTTAAATGAATCACGGTATATTTCTACGTTTTCACATTTCGAAACTACCGGTGTTTCAACCTCAAAATAACCAACAGTAATGTATTTTCCCTTTTTACCGTAAATTTCCCTCCGCTGCAATCTCAAAAATAACTATTTTTCAAACTATCGAAACCTTCGCCAATCTTACTCAACATGAAGACGACATTTAAAGTGAAATAAAAAATTAAACGAATTAATGGTAAATATATTTAAATAAATCCAATTCAGTGAGTATGCTAATAATAATAAAAAACACTACTGTACAATAACTTGATAAAAAGGTCGTCGACATGAAAAAAGAATCTGAACCAAGTTTTGAGATTACCCCATAAGTGCGACACCGCCACAAGCAATCCAGGTTAGTGTCCCCGAAACGTAAGTGGTGCCTGTAACAATACTAGCTTGGCAGTAAGGACATGTCATTGCAGTCGGGTCTTCGAAAAATCTCATCCCCATCACAATATGAGTTGGTTGCGTATGAATAATTGTTGTAACTCCTGCCTGTCCTTGAAAGCCGGGCTGTTGGGGATAAACCACTCCAGTCTGTTTAGTACCATAGTTTGGTGGCCCTGGATAAGCTGGTGGAAGAGGCTGGGTGACATTCGCTTGTTGTGATGGGTCCATGTTGTAGTTGTGTAATGCCGAAGGAACGGGAAAAGTTCTAGTTTCCAGGCTACTTCGGCCGCGCTAACTTGACGTCATATCTAAATCTAAACGAAAAAACGCTGACGTTTGTATCATTATTTATAGTATGTACCTAACAAATACCTCTTTCCTGATTGGTCAGTGACGAATGCTTGAATGGGTCACAAAGTCCGGGATTCCGTATTGCGCTCTTTTGAAATTAATGCCTTCAAAGACAAATAAAAGGGACCTTTTTCTCGGTTATTAAGGCCAAAGTCCCCCGCAAAGTGTTGTAAAGCGCATCAGAGCATATTCATATGGATAATGCGCTGTTTGAATGCTGTGTCATCATAAAAAAAAAACATTCAGTTTGCTTCGTCTGTCGTAATTATTAACGGAGTATTCCATAATTTCTTTTTCGTGCTTCTCAACCCGTAAAGCCCCTGCCTCTCGGTAAACTTCTAGTATGGTAAAGATAAAGCTACCGCCCCCAACCAAACCCTCACTATTGTAACTATGGCTCTGGGTCTCTAATGAAATCCAGAAGCTAGATGGTACGTGGAAACAGAGGTCTGAATGGAAGAAATACGCAAATACGCACACGCTAAAATTCAACGGAACGTAAAGCAGAGAAAATTTATAACTCAGAATGTCAGTTGCTTTTGAACAAAGTTTATTTTCAACTCATTTTACCCTACCCTAAGAATCTCTTTTGCTTAACATATTATCATCCATAGCGGGGCACAAGTGACTGCAGTTCCTGAGTATTCCGGGAAATGAACGTAAAACAGATGGACGTTTCTCTGCTCCCTTGAAGGGAGTGGAATTACGTTTTTGGGCGCGGTCAATTATGTTTCTCTGGCTCCAAAACCTGGCGGTCATCTTCGACACTTAAGCAAATTTAGGACGAATTCTACGGATTATACGAAACGTGGTTGCAGTTACCCAGACTTCCTTGGGATTTTACTCCCTGGCTAACTATTAAAAACAACTGTGTCAAAAAATAAAAGAAAAAAATATATATATATATATCTGTCTAAATATTTGAGTCATATCCACGCTTAATACTTGCTTACCAAAATCGTCTTATATATCGTTTTTGATGAGAGATCAGTGATGATTCTTCGCATGGGGGGGGGGGAGGGGGAGTGGGGGAAGATGGAGGGGGCTCAGTCGTCGCTAAAAGAGTATTATTAGTATGGCCGGTCCATTACTGGACAGCGCACCGAATATATTGTAGCTTAAAGTATTCTCAAGGGGATGTTTGATTGGGGTTACATTGAACTCACAGGGCACTCAAATCAGAATTACATGATTATAAACAAACATTAATTTTTTTCTATACTGTTCTCTCCTAAGAGAGAAATTTTCAAATGAGTGTCGCAGGTATTTCGATGGTGCTCTGGTTTCACCATTCATTGATTGGTGAAAAAGAACCCACGCTATCTTCTCAACCAAACAGACGCAAAACTATGACTGATTGCACCAAGGTCACTCGTGTTTTCCCGGTTTTGATCTTAGGACACTCAATCGAAAAAAAGTTCTACTTGCCGAGTAGAGCAAGTCCTTACTGAGCCTCCACGGAAATTTCCCCTTCATCGCGCTCTGTAATATGCTAAGAAACTAACGGAAACCTCTCAGCCAATCAGATTCAAGCTAAAACTAAATGTGACTTGGTCAAGACTTGTTCACTTGCGTCAGGTCAGTTTATCCGCGCTGGGGGCCAGTCACGTGCACTTACTTTAAGTTCTGATTAGCTCTTTGCGCTATCTACCAATAATCTATTTGGCCGTTTGGATTGGTTTGGTTTTAAGACACTAATTCGAAAACTACACTAAACCAGCGTAACAAAATAACTGAGCAATTACTAAACATTTTCTTTTTTGTCACTTTCAAATGCATCCGTGAAAGGTTCTTGTAACAGACACACAAATGAATATTATAATCTGTTTTCTCCTCAATGTAATGTAATCTTTCAGTATTGAGAGATGCTTAAGTTGCCTCTGCTTCTGCTTCCCCATCTAAATGGATTTATCTTATTGAAGATTTCAGGAAGCCAGGAATTGTTGGTTTTGGCATACACGCAGCTCTTGCTAAATTGGAATAAATTTGACGAATTTTAGTAATTAACTCTGTTATGAAATCTTTTATATCCAGCAAAAAAGGGATAAATGCACAGCTCTTACCTTGCTGCTTTGGTTTTGTGATTCTTCTGTCTGGCTGAAATGATGCCATCTACAAAAATAAAGGAAACATTAACGCATTAATGCGTGATAAATCAAGGAAAACATGGTGGTGCGCTGCACAGACTGAAGTGGGAGGCTCAGCCACAATACATTGAAACACTATTAAAAAGTCAGTCAAGATAGTCAGCGGTGATGAGTCTTCGTTGCTTCCCTACATGCCAGCGGACATAATGAGCAGTGAGTAAGTTAGTCTTTCTTTTTTTTGCGAGGAGCTTCCTAACTTCACCATACCTGACTCATACCCAGTCGTCCTCATAACACGCAAGTGGGAAGGGTGCGCAAGGTGTAATGGGTAGCCTTTCTCCCACATTGCGCTCCCATATCACGAGTGCTACGAAGCAGAAAATGAAGAATGCAAGCATCATACCTAAAGCTTCTCGTAGAGTCTTTCCATTGTGTTTCAGAGAACAAAGTTTTTCTCTCATTTCGTAGATCTTTTCTATGGGCATGACCTCTGCTTTCTTGCCTTCCATTGGGACTTTCTTGATATTTTCAATGATGACATTCTTCTCTTCCTCATACGTTCTCTTGTCCTCCTTCATTTGGGCAATCTTTGCTTCGTCTCTAATCACCTTCTCTTTCATCTCCTCTTCTCTGATCAGCATGTCCAGGTACTCGCTAAAGGAGTCGTTGTAGGCAATCATGGCATTCTGCTTGAGGAAGACACCAAAGTAGCTGGCACATCGATAGATGAACTGCTTTTCCTCTTCAAGTTCTTGGATGTTCGTCGCCAACTCTCTGATGAACAATTGCTTTTGAGACTTCAAGTCGGTTTTCTTCTTGATTTTCGACTGAGCTTCCTCAGACAGGAATTCCTTCTCAACGACATTGGCTGTGTAGCGGATATGCATGTGTTCTCTGTAGTTGTGTCCACAGAGTCTGCACACTCCACCAATCATAGCCCAACAGCCATGAAGCTGGTCATTATTGGTTGTCTCGATTGGAACTCCTGAGAGATTACAGTGATCATGGCATACTTGCTCATAAACGGTGTTTTGCTGACCTGATTGGCCGACGGGTACATACCTCTTACAAGCAGGGGCGGCACAGACTGTCATGGGATAGTCAAGGGGTTCTAACTCCAGCTCAAAGCCTTTAAATTTTAGTTCCTTCTGGAAGTCCTTGATGTCTTTTTCAAAGGCCTGGCACTGGCCTTTCACATCTTTTATCTTCTTCAAATTCATCTCAATAAGCTCCACAGCCTGACCCATTGGTTTGCTCAGGGCGATGATGCAATTCCTCGCCTCATTAAGGCTTAGGGTCTTCTTAGTATCATGAGGCGTCATATTCTTCACGCGTTCGAAAAGTCTGCAGGTGGTATCACACGACTTCACCCAGCTTTTTGCGTAGAGATCTACGTCCTCAGCCGTGAACTTAATTTCACTCTTGTGGCAGGCCAGAAACCTGTCGAGGGAGTGAAAAAAATTAATAATCTGGCTCGATTTCACTATATGAACTAAATTCAATTCTGATGATTCGAGCTAAAAATCTCGCAATGAACGAGAGAATAAAGTCGACCTAATGGTCCACCTTCAATTATTCAGCCTATTTTTAAGTTCGTTATCTGCAGTTCCCTTTAATCTTCTCCATACTATTATGATTTTCTGTTTCACTGAAGTACTATTTTGTAGTAAATTGAGAGGAAGTTTGTAACGTAAGGGTAATTTTTGTGGCGCAAAAAATGACTCGAAATATATCGAGAATGCGCTCCTTTACTTAAAGTAAACACCAAATTACCTGAAAGCTTCGTTGTCAAAACAAAAATAATTCGAAGGAGAGACATCTATCCCGATACTATTCTCATCGAGGAGCTTTTTTAGCACTGGAAGGCTATCTCCTGGTCTGTAGAATGTTCCTCTGGAGTTGGTGAAGGCAAACATGATGTTGGAAACTAAGGACTTGTGGAGGTGGGTCAACAATTCCAAGACGCAAAACTTGAAAGCCACTGTCAGCCTTGCGTTGTTAGGCTTGAGAAGCACAACCACGGCGTTGATCTTGTCATAGCAAGTAAGAAAGGCCAAGATATTATCGAAGTTTTCCTTGTCCTTCTCAATGCCTCTGCAGTCCCCGATGCCCGGTGTGTCAATAAGATGGAAGATTGAGGTGCTGGTCTCCAGTCGGTACTCCTGAGGGAATTGGGTGGCAGATTGACCACTAGAGAGAACTTCATTATCATCAGCAGACCCAAAGGCGATGTCCATCCCTTCTCCACTTTCATTCGTGAAAGTAAACCTAGCATAATAATGAAATATTTGACAATAATTCATGAGCGCGCGTTGGATATGAGGTGGTAAATTGCCAACAGCGGCGAGTTGGCCATAACCAATCTCGTATCCAACAAGCGCGAAGAGAATAATTGTTTTATTAAATTTCACTAAATCCTGAACATTTGGATGTTTGGAGCCTTTTTTCAGCCCTGTAACAGTCGGTGCAATGCATTTCCGCATAAGTTGACTCGGAATACGAGCTGATCACCTGTGTTGAATGAACAAATCAGAACGCTAGAAGTGCAACATTCGGAGTTGAAAATTTAATACATATATCTTTGTCATGGTTCTAAACCTTCACGCGGAAATTTTGCTTTTCGGGCCTCGTCATGTAGAGAGGATCGCCACACAAAATTGAGCATTGACTCTCGTTCAAATATTTTTACCTAGATGGAATCAGTACAGTGAAATCAGGGTCGTTCATGGCGTCTTCGAGAGACTCATGCTTTGCATAGTTGGCAATACCATTAATCCACGTGGACTTGCCCACACCAGTCTCTCCCAGTATGAGGATAGTGAAGTCTCCTTTGGCTGCAGATGCCTATGGGTTCAAAGACAAGAGAAGTTTATTACACAGATAATAATGTGCATAAAACATTACCCGCGTCTGATTGGCTGTAACTGAGTGCAATTTTCATGTAACACGAGTGCAAAAGTATGACACAAGTGCAAAGTTGTAAAACGAGTGCAAATTACAAATAGCATGTGCGCACTGTCAAAATTTCGTTGGTATAGGTAATCACATGATTTCGAGTGCAATTTGGAATAAATAAGCACGAGTAAAATTTTCCAAAGAAATTGCACGAGCCCGTAGGGTGAGTGAAATTTGTGGTCTCTGAAAAAATTAACAAGTGCTTATTTCTTCCAAATTGCACGAGAAAATCATGTGATTAGTCCTGTAAAGACTATAAACTGCACTCGCCGCACAGGCTTATGCAATTTTGTTGTCTTGAAAAATTTTCTCGTGCGAATTGCACTCGAAATCATGTTATTACCTATACGTACAAAGCGACATATGAGCTACGCTTGAGGCGGATTTCCGGGATGATACTGAATTACGACCTAAATTAGTTTTTTAGTACGAGAGTGATTATCAACCGAGTTTCGGTCTAAGATTGGTCAACAAACCATGCACTGCCTCTCATCAATGCAAGACTCTTCAGCTGCGATCCACTCGGAATCATCTTCTTTTTCCAGCCCCTCAGGTATTTTGCTAGTTTTTGCTAACAACAGTCCGAGATTATTGGCAAAATAAAATTGCTTTTGATGACCTATATCAGCGCGTCGCTTTCGTTATTGCTGTTGAAAAAAACTCAGTGTTGTGGATCCATATCTGGGATTATCGACTGGACAAATGAAACAAAAAAAAAAGCAATAAGTTCGTAACGATTTTGTGCAAATCCATACCAAATCATTATGTCTGATGTTGATTGCGGGACAAAGAAACTGTATAAGGATGTTAGACGGCTTACCCTTCTATAATGGCACATGAAACGGTTATCGAACCCAAACCTGCAGAGTATTTTGCCAGTATCAAAAAGATAAATTTTCAACTCAATGTTGAAACTAATCCAAGTTTTACCTCCTCTATGATTGGTCCAGAACACTCGCGCCACTTTCTCAACCTATCAGATGCAAAACCTGAAAACTAATCACGACTTGGTCGCCTGCGCTTTCCCGCGCTTTCCCGCGGCTTCCCGCGCTTTTGGCAGTTTTGTTGTTTTTCACTTTGAGTTATCGGTAGTGGCTCTTTGAAGTATTTCCCTTCTTCTGATTGACCATTACGATAAATTTAAGATTGGTTTTACGACACTCGATCGAAAAGCGCTCTAACTACTTGACAGAGGATAATCCCTCTTTCCCAGTTAAGTCATGCGCGTAAGTCAGTAAGGAAGGAAATATTTCGGCGCCGCACGAGAAAGCTGACTGTTCATCGTCCAATCATGGTAAGCTGCTGTCTCGGTCCATTTCAGGCTGATCTGGCATATTTTTAAGAATTTACCTCGACTTGAGGACCTTTTACACTTGAAGTGGTCCCACTGGGATGTTTAACAGCCTTGCCATCCGTTAAGTCGTTAGAAACTTCAACTTTATTTCCAGGAGCTTCCATGTTGTAGTAATGTTGTAATAACGTTAATACTGAAAACATCAACTGTTAAAACTTTAGTAAACTGTGAGGCTAAAGGTTTTGTTACTATTCAGCCAATTTGATGAAAACAAAACAAAGACCAATGACTTGGGAAGGAATATGGGCACCGGTCAGTATTTATCACGTGGAGAGGTGGGGAAGGATCGGAGGATTTCGGTGTTATCATGATAAAACTTTTGGCTCGGTAATGTTTTAAAAATCTTATTAGCAGTCAATTGACAGTCAACTTCGCATCGTATCCCCTTTATGCTTCGATAGCGATGACTACCCCCCCTCCACGCTTTCCCTTGGAACAATGATAACCTCACCCCCCCCACACCCCGACGATAAAAAAGCAAAGATTCTGAGGATAGTTTGAAATGGTCAGAAAGCAACTCGGTAAAGACTTCAGGGATTAACCATTTCTGAATGGGTTTTCTCACAAATTTCGAAGAAAGGTCGCAACTTCAAGATTCAAGAATATTTGCAAGTGGCAAAAATTAAAAAAATCTCACGAGACACTTTAACTGAGATGCACCTGGTGCGAAATTTGCCTCTTAGTGATCAGAAACCAACCACTTCCGGGAAAAGATTTTCTGGAGAATATAAGAATAAAGCACAAGGATACATATCAAACTCTTTCCCCATTGCGACGAACATTTGTTTTTCTCGGTTCCAGGTGTACGCAACCACTAACCCCACGTAATGCACAAGCTCTCCGTTACGAATTTTCAAAATGGCGGACAGGCCAAAGAGGGAAATAATAAAAACAAAGCGATTTTGCAATGAATAATCAACATACACCCTCGTTAGAAAGGCAAATCCACGGAAGAAAGATACAAAACTGTATGATATTGAGATCGATATGATATTAAATCGATACCGAGGGCCCGTTTCCAACTTGCTAAGAAGTGCATTTAGTTACCTTCCGCCACGATTACTAGCTTTCTTGACAGCTTTCTGAAGACAGAATACTTTCTTTCTGAAGACTTCTGATATGCCGCTTTTGATTATTACACCTCGTACATCTGATTGCTCAAACACTTTGTTTACGATTGTTGAAAGGAACGACTCATGGTTCTCCGTCTTCGTCTTTATATTGCTTTGAAATAGTATAGATTAGTAAGCTGAGACGAAAAATTAATAAGGGAAGTTTACGAAAAATCCAGCAAACAAGCTTAAAAAAGGCATTTATTTAGACTTCATAATTCAACGAACTTCACAAATCTTACTTGTTTATCTCGTAAATAAACGATGGCAGATTAATTCCCGAAGCGCTTTCTGAGTTTCCCGATCCCTCTCCTACTGCTTTCACGCTTACAAAACAGGAAAAAATCAAAAGGAGGAAGATACAGCTGTTTTGAAACGCCATTTGACGAGGGTAAATCTACTTTTTGTTCGACACTTTACATATCAAAACAAAGGAAATTTGTTCCTCTTTTTGATTCTGGCGGTACATTTTTAATTTGCGCCTGCGTCAAGAGATGTCGCCCGAGACCCTTCGCTCGGTCGTGTTTTGATCAAAACCGCCTTGTTAATTTCACGCAACCGCTCGGAGAAAAGGTAAAAATGACGAGGGAAAAACTTTACCTTCAAGTTAGAAAATTAGCGAAATAGAAAGCCAAAATATTATGGTTTAATATTTCAGAGGTACATTGAGTGCTTTTTCCGTAGAGAATCCGCACGATGGTAAAACATTCGAAAATTACACTCGATTTGAGTGGGGTGTTGAAGTGGGCGTGGTCACCACTTTCATGTTAAGACTATTTGTACCCCATGAGTTTGATATGTTCTGAGAAACATTGTTTGATATTTGTCACAACACGTCATAGTGAAAGTATGGATTTAGAATTCCCCCCAAAACAATCATTTCCGATGGCAGGTTTCCGAATAATTTCGGGGAATTCGGGGAATTCGGGGAAAATCCCGTTTTGATAGCGAAAGTGCATTGTAATGGCTTTTTTTCTTTAGGAAGCAAATGGACAGAGATATGGAGAAAAAAATGAGATTGCCACAGTTCTGGTTTTCTGTTACGTACAGAGTTCTTCGAATTATCTTGTCTCGGTTGTGCATCGGACGGTTTGAAAAAAAGGAAAAGAAAAAGAGGGACCAAGGCGAAACGAAATGTAACGAGTCTTCTCAAAGCAATGGAAGAAGGCCCACTTCCGTTTAGAGCAAATCGATTCCGCACCGTTCAATCGCTGTGAGTAATCATTACCAGCCTTTGATTCCTCTTTATATTTTGGCTTGATGAAGTGAAGTTACTCCGAGGATGTTGTGGAAAGGAAGCTTTCTTACAACGTTTAACCACAAATCTATGGTGACCTCCAAACAGTTTTGAAATAGTGATCCTTCTTTGAACGCACATGAATCCCAATTAAAACTACCATGAAAGCTACCATTATTGCTCTGTAGAATTGAATTTGATTAATTGTGAGAATGCCATGTCTGAAAATGGAAGTATTAGCTTAATTCTTACCTCTATGTACTTCCAATTCGCTTCAGCTTGCACAGGTCGCCGCTTCAGATTAAAAGAGGTAGCTGGTAAGAATTAGTAGCAATATATTCCCGCCGACAATACGGGATCTTGCAATCCTTTTTAGGTAAAAATACGGGAAGAATGAATGAAATTTAAAACGAAGAGGTGAAACTGACATTTTCTAAAGTAATTTTACTGATCGTTTCGGTGCACTTTGGCCAACCGACTCATTATTAGCCCACGTGAAATTGATTCTTAGAAAGCTTTTCTTTCATTTCCTGCGTTTCTCCTAAACCGGATGAACTAGTATAGCCCAGGGCCTGGCGTCACACGGACAGATCCATGGACTACCCGATGGGTTACACCCCACGGAACCTCAATTTTCCCACACCGGAAATGAATAGACAAATGTATGAATGAGTGACTAAAGAACGAAATAAAAGAATGAACAGAGACAAGAGAATGCAGGCGAAAGGCGACGAAAAAAAAAAAGAACGAGGAAAGAGAAAAACTGGTTTGAAATGCAGCACCAGCAAAAAGGAAGAAATGAATTGAAAAAGTCAACTGAATAAGGATGAAATCGAGGTCAACAAGGGATCTGAATCATAAGAATGAGTTTTAAAATTTTCACCGCTTACCAATTTGAATGCATCGACCTCATGTAAGTGCAACTAACCTCTGAATAAAACTTCCGCAAAGTTAACGTGAAATGAGATTGCATTTATTTTGTAACTTTACCATGAACGTCGTAACGAAACTTTGTTTAAATAAGAAGGTAATTATATTGTATTAAGGGAAAAGCATAATTATTGTTCATTATCGTGTTGATTGACAATTGGTGTATTTTGACAATAATCTTTCTCTCCTCTACACCAATCAGATTGAAGAATTGTCTGTAGAGGATTTCGAAACAATAATATTTTCCCGCGGTCCTGCCAACATGGCTGTAGGACGGATATATTTAGCCGTATTCTTATTACTGAATCATGGAAACTCTGCCGTTTTCAGTCAGGATATTGACGACGATTCTATTGCATTTGACACTTCCAGTCAACATGGGCTCAATGTAGAATCATTACAAGCTAATAATGACACGCAATTCGATAAGAGATATCTTCTTTATGATGTGAATCCTGGAGAAGGATTTAACCTCAGACGGGATGTGTACATGAGAGTGGCAAATATGATGAAGCTTCTGCGAGAAAAACAGAACTGGATCCTTGTCGTTCCGCCTTGGAGAAAACTTTACCACTGGCGATCGGTGATCGAACAAAATGCCCTTCCTTGGCGGACATTTTTCGACCTGGAAAGCTTGAATCGTTACGTGCCTGTCATTGAGTTTGAAGAATTCATGAGGGAAACCGGCGAAGAAGCCATAGATGAAATCCTCTATTTACAAGGTTACGCTGAAGGGTGGAAAGACGGACATTGGGAAGAAAAAATAGACGATAGAGATTGCATTGATAGACCTGTATACCACAAAGATGAAAGCGGGTATTACAGAGGTTACTTCTGGGGAATGGAAGACATATTCGCGCGTAAATTTAAATGTGTCTCTGTACAGGGCACTTCGGCAATTCTAGTGCCTACACTTCTGGAGAAAACCAAGTCAAAGTAAGAATGTCTTTAATTCGAATTCGCTATTTTGAATTACTTTCTGGGCTCCATTCTCTGTAGTGTTTCGTCACAATAACCTAAAAGTTCAATATTTATGTCGAATGGACGAGATCAAAGGCACTTGAAATCAATTCATTTACACGTGTACTTTTCTTTCATTGTTTTAGCTGGTATGTTGTGACGAGTTACAGACAATTCCCTTAACGGGTGGAAAGTACCTTACATCACAGAGGCTTTCAAACAAATTTTCCATTTGTAGACTGTGAAATATTACTGGGAAAATTGTCGTCAACATACTAACTAATCAGCTGAAGTTCTTTACAGTATAAATTGAATGCATTAAATTAATATCAGTACAAAAGTACAAACAAAACTCCATGGGGTTCTTTTCATCTCTGCGAAATTAAATTTTTATTACCTGAAAATGAGATAAACTTTTTCAACTCAAAATTCTCTCTTATTTTTTGAAAAACTTTTGTTCAAGAAGTGAAGTGAAGTGCTACAGACTTTGAATGGAAATTGTACATGTTTATGAGTGCACATTAAGGGTTTCATTGTTGCAATATTCAATTTTCTTTGTTTCTTCACCAATGATGTGATTCCCAAGACTACTATGTATTGATCTGGAAACTTGGGGGCAAAATTATAGGAAAATGACCTTGTTTTGCTTTATTACCTTTAAGAGTCTCATTTGCAACACTGTCCAATTGATATATATGTTTTACCTATAATGTTGAAAAATTTGGGTTGGAGACCTGTGTGGGTCTTCTTGTTGTATTTTTAGGCAAGGCACTTTACTCTCTGAGTACCATTCTCCACACAGGAGAATAAATAGGTGGTTATAAAATTTCAGAGAAAATTGACAAAGTACTGGGTAAATCCTTAACAGACTAGCATCCCATACACACTCTTACATGATTGAGCTTAACCCTTAAACTCTCAGATGTGATTCATATGTAACTTCTCCCTATAATATCCATACATTGTCACGCATATAGGTAATGAGAATACTCAAATATATCAGGTAGAAGTTGTTCTCTTAATCTGACACCAAATTCTGATAACTAATTTATAAGGAAATGTGGAGCAGCTAGATGGGAGAATTAACCATCAGATCTTGGGATTTAAAGGGTTAAGCTTGAACCAACCCTCCAGGATAATGTATCCAGATATTCAAAATGAAAAATTGTCTATAAGGTGTTTTGAACCATTTTAACATTTTCACCAAAAAAAAGTAAACAGAGTTCACGACTTGTCATTAATGTGTCCTTTTTTAATTATTTCACTGCATTACAGATCAGTGTTTGTAGAGAGATTTGAGGAAGTATTGCACATCATTTATGGACAAAAGGATTATTGGGAGGTACTGTAACTTAGTTTTTCTGTATTTTCTTTCGTTGTTTCAGGTCTGTGTTTATTGACAGATTTGAAAAGGTTATGCACATTCGTTATGGTCAGGTGGAATTTTATAAGGTAATCTGAATTTTCTTATAGTTTTTGCGAAGGGATCTTGTCCTATCCAGTAGTTACTCTCGATTTCTGATTGGTTGCTCCCCCTTCTTGCTGTTATACATTTCCTTATAAACTAGTTCAGAGAGTTTCATTTTTAACCCCTTGGCCCCTGAGAGTAATAAGCATCTAATTTCTCCCTACAATATCATCCCTGAATCACACATGAAAGACAAGAGAATAAAGGAAATGATCAGCAACTGAAGAGACTCTTGATTGGGAAGTGAATTCTCCTTGTCAGCACCTTAGGAAATGTATAGTGAAAAGTATGGAGAATCTATATGCTGATGTTAAGGTGAAAAGGGTTAATGGTTTAAAGCATTGTTGATTGATAAACAGAATTTAAGTCTTTTTTTCATTTAGTTAGGAAGGGTTAATTTTGTTTCAGGCAAGGAGGAGCCTGGTTTTTGCCAAACACTTAAGAGATGAAGGAGACAAGTTTCGTAGAGAATTCTTAAAATCTGACGATGAGAGGGATGCTACAGTCATGGATCCAGACTGGACCAAGAATCAGAAAAAAGAAGGTTCTGCTAAAGGAGGCCCATATTTAGCAGTTCACTTGAGAAGAGCTGATTTTCTCTATGCTCACCCTGATGGCGTTCCATCTCTTGACAATGCTGTCAAGCAGATCAAGGATATTCTTGAAAAGGAGAAGCTTGATATGGTATTCCTTGCGACAGATGCTGATAAAGAAGGTGAGGTACATGCAACTAGTTGAAAGTAAGCCCTTGAGTTTGGAACATTAGGATATTTGTTTAGAAAAAGCCTGCAAAAAATTCCTTCATTTTTCTCTTACAAATGTTTCTGAACTCTGTTAAAAGAAGATGGAAGATGATAATAATGTTGGTGACATACCATGGTCTTCAGAGGTAATGGGTTGGAAATGTTCGGCAGAAAATTTTTGAAGTTTGTTTAAAAGAATTTTCAAACTTTACACAGCAATGAAATCATCATCAGGCTGTGTAAATTGATGCACTGCCTTGAGTCCAGGGGGGGATGCAGAGGTGTGATGACCAGTGTGCTGGAATCAGGGCTGATAGGTCTGGCTGGGCTGAGACGTCCAGCTCAAGACCTGACCACACCAACGTGTTGTGTTCTTGAGTAAAACACTTTGCTCTCACAGGCTAGAAGTGCCTCTCACCACCCAGGAGTATAAACAGGTACTGGCAAATTATCAGAAAGCCTAATGAAATTCTGGCAAGGAAGCTTGCAATGGACTGGCATCCCACCCAGGGAGGAGTAGTGATACTCCTAGTCACTTCATGCTGAGGAGACTGGGATGAGCTCTGGCTGAGTTGGCCTCTTGGTGCAATAATAGATTTTGCTTTTGCCTTAAGAGTCCACAGAAAATGTCAATAAGAGTTTAGAAAAGGTTTTGGATTTTTTTTTATTAACAGTGTACTTGATTTCCCTGTGAAAAATACATGAATTATAACATTAGCCCTGGTAAAATGTTTTGTCTTTCAGAGGTGACATATTTGAAGAGTAAACTACCCCTGGTGAAATATGACCCACCGAAGGAAATTCTACATAATTATGGTGATGGCGGAGTTGCCATAATAGACCAGTGGATTTGTGCACATGCTCAATACTTTGTAGGGACATGTGAATCAACATTTTCATTTCGTATTCATGAAGAAAGGGATATATTAGGTTTCCATGGTGACAAGACCTTTAATTGTCTCTGTGGAGATAAGAAGCTTGGAAAATGTGAACAACCATCAAAATGGAGAGTAGTATACTAAAAATATGATGAATGTACTTTAAAGCTTTTCTGCATTCAACTTTCAGTCAGTCATTAAAAGAAGATAACTAATAAATTATGGGATTGCTTTGGGAACAGGATGTGAAACATTTCTGCGAGACAAGATGGTAGTTAGAATTTTTAGATATTAGTGCCAGTAGACACTTAGTTAACCCTTAAACTCCTATGAGTGACCAAGACAGAATTTCTCCTTACAATATCAATACAATGTCAAGCAGACAAGCAATGAGAATAAAGAAAAATATCAATTAGTGGAATTGTTAATTGATGTAAGACCAAATTCTCTGAACTAAAATCAAGAGAATCACCGGTATATGTTAGACAGTTAGGAGAATACCTAGAAAGAACTTGGGAGTGAAAGAGTTAACTCTTCATTTCCAGGAGCGACCAAAAAGGAACTTCTCTTTGTAGTATGGATTTTTTTTCAAGGAGAAAGGTGATGAGAAGGAATAGAAAAAGAGAACTTGAGTAGAGACAATTTTGCAACACATATGGAAACCAGAAGAAGCATAAAACTAGTTCTGGTGCACTTTGACACCAAGGTATTTATGGCAAGGTCTTGTTTTAGCATTTTGAACCAAACTTTGCTGACCTAAATGGTGCAGTGAGCATCAGGAATGAGAACTTAAAACTTCCAGTTGCCATTTGCGTCTTAGAAACGTTTGTACTTAAGCTCCCTTATATCAGCAAAGGAATACTGTTTGATGTAATACCAAATTCTTAGAGCTACAATTGTAAGAGGTGTTTGGTGGACAGAGGGGAGAATTGATCTTTAGATCAAATTGGGCATGTGGGTGTAAGAACATGATTGGTGCATTTGCCCTCTGCACTAAGATGATGAGGATCTCAGAATAAAATTTTTACTTGTTTTCGCTCACAAGAGTGCCCACAGTCTATCATTTCCTGCTTAGCATATAGAGATAGTGAAAAAAAATCTAACTGGAGATAATAGATTTATGCGGCATGATTTCATATGAGGCTGACTTCTTCTCACTCAAAGGATGAGGCCAGAAAAGACAGATTTCTTATTCTCTAGATTGTATGTAATGAGCTATAGGATGATGAATGTTACTCACTCTAAAATCTTAAAATAAGGATTCTTGTTTCCTGAAAGCCTGCTCGATCAAGGATAGGGTTTGGTTGAAGCTGCTGGAGATTCAAAACAAAATCAATTTTGTATGGTGTTGATTTTTTTGTTGCCTTACCTTCTTTTACATTAATGCTGACCAACATTTCCCGTCAGTCTTCTATGAGTGACCCATTTCACTGTTGCCAAGCTTAACCTTTTTATTATAAAAAATAAACTTTCCACTGTAAAATCCATATATTTATTTTCATTCTGGATCTAAGAATTTGGGGTGACATCCTGTAGCTGATTTTATCTTTCTTCTCATCACTTTTATGCTTGAAAATATAAGGATAATGTAAGGAGATATTCATATTCGGTCACTTCCCCAATTGAAAGGGTTATCATCAGGAACAATCAGTGATAATTGTTGCAATGTTCTGGGCTAATTTCTAGCTTGAACTGATGAACCTGCATTGACACCAGAGCTAAGGGATTGACACCTTAAATCAATCTGTTATTTAAAGGACATGAAAGTAGAAGATAACTGTCAAACAACTGATTGCAGTATCATCAGACAATTTCCTTGCCTAATAACTGCCATTAACAGTTTTGCCTAGCCTAAGTATTAATCCCTATTGATAGTTTGCTGCATTCTGTGCCATTTCAATAATTAGTGGGCTTTGCCTTAATGTAATAATGTATCTGCCGATAGATGCATACGTGACCATGGTATCAGAGATTTTTTGCTCCTTTTGGACAAAATGTCAGATCCCATGTTTTTGTCCATCTTTTATTCCCATAAATTTCCAAAAGTAGTGAGAACAGTCAGCAGTGCACTTACATATACTTTCTGTTTCTTTTGTTTAGACATATTTCAACATCATTTGTGATCAGTTTTCTTATCTATTGATTTATTCATACAGCAACATGGAAGCTGTGTTTAATTCATATATTGATGAATAGAAGTGCAGATAAGTTCCATCTCAATTTTTAGGCTCAAATTATATGATATCTAATCAGACACAGCTGCTATAAAAAAGTTTGATGCTCAAGTGATAGTGTTTGTAACCAGTCAGAGGTCAGGGTAAATGTTTGCCAAAAAGGGTTTGTATATTCTCTTTAGGTTTTTAGGCATTATCAGCAAGAGTAAGAAACAGTGCTCTTTTATCACATGACTAGGAGAAGATTTGACCTAGGCTGCCAGATGCTGGGAAGTGGGAACAGGGCTATTGTTTGACTTTTCTTCTTGTTAATTTTAGTGTGCCAAACATTTAATCTGAGTGACACACCTAGGGGAGGTTTGGCTGGAGTTGTATGCATATCCTGTGTAGGATCGATGTCATCCAGCCTTATCTAGTGTAATAGGGAAATATTTACTAGCAGATATATATAAATGTTAATATTGAAAATATAAGTCTATACACTGTTTGAAAGCTCATACCGTGATTGCCAGCTCATACCTTCATACCTGCTCAAGCCAAATAAGGTAGTGATCATAGGAAGGAGGGTCAGGCCACTACTTAGGTCATGTTTTGGATTTTGGTCTAGAAAGAGGAGGCCTGGATTCCTTTGTAGATCAGTGCTTGAGATAACAACCTAAGCTGAATTATCTGCCAAGATTGAAGTTCTTGGAAACTTGTAATGGTTCTTCCCATGCAGATATTGCAAGGTATAAATGTTTGTAAGGAGGTAAGAGGTTTCAAAAATGAGATATTGTAGCCCTTCTTTACTAAGCCAAAATGAGTGTGTGCCCCCAAACAGGGTGTGTCTTTTGCGCTTTTGAGTCTTTATGCCTTTTACAGCTTTATACCAGTACATCTTCATACTGTTCTCTATACATTTCCTGACCTGCTGACAAGGAGAATTTTTTTAATAATAAAGAACTTCTTTAGTTGATCATTTCCTTTATTCTTGTGACCTTAATATGTAATTCAGAAATTAGATGCTTAGTCAGTCTAAGAAGTCATAGATCAAGCCTTGTGAACAGGTTGTACCGTCTTTTAAGAGGGGAGTTTAGTGTGACCTCAATAATGTGGGCACTGGTAGATAAGGTGGTCACTCACTAAAATTGTGTCAAATTGAGCAAGACACAGACAAGGTCAATGTGCCACAATCTCTATGGATCGTGTCTTGATGACTGGAAAGTGAAATAAACTGATCTTTACGCAACACAGGGTCAGAGTGCTAACAGCTTTGCAGCACCCACCCCCCTCCCCCCAATACCCTTGTTCCCCTTCCCCTGGGGGCTTGGACTACAAAATTCTCTATGGGAAGAGTATGAATATTTCCAAGAACAACTCAATTTGCCTGAAACCAATTGATCTCTTTATCAAGACAAAATCAAAGTGGTAGCAGCACAAAATGGACAGGTGGATGAGCTGCTGATCATGGTAAGACTTCTAGATGAATTTGTAGACAAAATTATTTCAATAATCATTGCTGTATGTATTTTAATTGCTTTAAATTTTATGTTTTTTAATATTTTTTAATAAGAGAAATCTGTGGTATGTATACCTCTCAAAGACCACACTACTAGTTGTCAATGATTTTTTTTTGTATCTTATTCTGCACAGAACAGTTTTCAGATGTAGAAATTGACAAGTCATTTTCATTTAACCAAAATTTGAATAATCCCGTTTTGCCATTTCCATCCCGTCCCGAGGATCTTTGTAGGATAACCCCATATAAGGAATTGCTAACAGAGGCTAGGCTACTGAGCTACAAGGCCTCTTAAGATATTTTTTGCCATGATTGTGATGGGGAAGGCCCTATCGTGCGCTCACTGAAAGAAATTATTTCTGTTTGGTTTGGAAAATGCCAAGTTTTCGAAAATTTGGCAAAAAGTACTTAGTGACTAGCTTTGGTGAACAAAAACGTTGGAACATCGAGCAAATGGAGGAATTTTATGGTGTTTACGAACGCGCACGTCTAGGCCCAAGGACTGGGAACAAGACAAAACAGGTCTTGAAGAAACACGGAATCTTTTTTTCTTTAAAGGTATGATTCCCTTTAAGGCTAAATTTTCTTCATTAAGCAAGAATTAATGTCATTCTTAAGGTATTTGATATGAAAAAACTCCGCGCATCCCGTTATGCAGAAACAAACCCTGAAAAGTCACAACATCCCGAACTTGATTCATAGTTTCGCTTGCGCTGATTAAGAGATTATTAGCTATTGTAACTGATAATTCTGGAGAGGGACTCAATTCACATGTTGACGGTAGAATCATCCATTTTTATTGTCGATTTTAGAGGGAAAATATTTCACTCTTAAAAGATATCCCGCAAAGGGCAGAGGCGATTTTTTTTTACTTTTATTTTGCCTCTGCGATCGACAACTTTTCAAAAGCAGGTTGTTACGTGGTAATGATAATGCGTGACAAATTGGTTTACCGGGGTGGGGTAGGGAGAACGTTTGTCGCTACTCGTATGAGTAACGCAAGTTTCGTAATGCTTGAATGTTCTTGCTTTTTTCTTTTTTGTTTGTTTATCTACGATTCTTTAAGAAAGAGAGCTTTTAGGGTTTCAAATGTTTGCCTCTTTAGATCTGATTAACTTGATCAAGAACCTCTTTTTGATTACCCTGTGTGAGTTTGAAACTAATCAAAGATTTAACTAGGGTTCATTTGTCTCAGGATAGAGTCACTTTTGATGTTGGTTGCAACATTTTGACTGCAGTATCCTGAAGACTGCTAGCAGTATTGCTGTCGAAACATCGCAATTAACACTTAAAGGGTTAAAGTGACTCTATTGTGAAACAAACAATCAATTTTCATCTCCCATCTTACACCACGATGAACAATAAACACATATTTTATTGCAAAGATTTCATTGTAGGCACTGTTTTTGTCCAGAGTGATGGACAAATAAAATATTTTTTTGGGTGTGAGGCTGCAAGAAATAATGGAACTGTAATAAGGGAATCTGAAATCAAATTACTTTGTGACCTGTTTTATCAAGTTATACTGAGAAATAGCAAATGCTCTAACTCCCATGAGTGACTAGGACAGAATTTTTCCTGTCAATATCAGTACAATATCAACCAGAAAAGTGATGAGAATAAAGAAAACTATCAATTTGGGGATAATTAGTTGATCCAATGCTAAATTCTCTGAACCAATATTGTAAGAATTGTATGGTTGATAGTAAGGAGAATTACTAATTGGATCTGGGTGCTAAAGGGTTAAAGTAATTAAGAAAGACACAAAACATTGAAAAATTATTTGAAAATACAAAAACTATTGTAATCACAATTTTTTTTTAAATACAGTTTTTTAGGAACAGTTCTCTCCATAGAGGGCCTGAAATAAATGGATACTGTGAAAGCTGTAGAAATGACAAAATTTTGAAAGGTTGAGTTTGAATGATTAATTGGTAATTCAAGTGGGGTCCCTCTTCAAGACTTCTTAAGGATATGTAGATGAGTTTCAAGGAATATCCTAAAAAAAATCTTAATGTTTATTTTGTGAGTTTTGTGTCTGCTCTCGATCCTGGACACACGATTGTAGAGAAGTTTGTGCCAATTGTTGCTGAAATTAAGGGTCTAAAATAACGACTCTCCATAGGAAAGTTTGTAAATCACCTGTTTTCGAGACGGATAATGAGTTTGGTGATCTTTCACCTTTTCAGGAAGTTTACAGTTATGTTTTGTCCAAAATATTTGTATTTACCTAAGGAAATATTTGTTGATGCACTGCAGCCTCTTTTGGTAGACATGCACATATTCTGCTTTTGATATCAAAATTTCTTACAATTAAAAGGCAGCGAGTTGATTAATTTCGGAAAACAAATTACATTTCTTTATTTTGCCACACAGGATGCACACAGTAGACAAGCTGTTCCTTCTATATTGGTGATTAAAAGCATGCAAGCAAAGTGGACAGATTTTTTACAGGGTCTTTTAATTGATAGCAAAATATGTATTTATCTACGATTCCTCTTTTTGATACTATTCACTGATGAAAACAAAGAAGGATATGTGGTTAACAACTGAGAAGCTGGGAAAAATTACTCCTTGCTGGGATACTTCCGGTACAAGAGCTCAAATATGCAAATCAAGGGAAAAAATCTTATGTTTCGTTCAAAAATTATATCTCTTTCTTAAGTTCAAATTCGGCTTTTGTGATAATTATAATCAGGAAAATACTAGTTCGTAAACAAACAATGCAACATTAATGAATTGACTGCGAATTGCGTCAATAAACTGCCGTAACGAAACTGGATATTCGCTGTTTCATCGATCGATCGGCGGATAACGAGTGGTTTTAGGACGTTACATCAGCTGAAAAGGCGTTAAGTAATGGGGAATACTTGTTCTTTAGATATCTCTACGTAGAATTTCATTTCAGCGAATTGGGGATGAAAAGATCGCTCCTGTTCTCCGCCATTTCGATGTTCTGGAATCGTTTAACCCCACGACATGAAAATTCTCCCATCTTACCCCTTAAATCTTTTCTTAAGGTTTATAAAGTAATTCTTGATTTTTAGTTACAATAATCTCTCTCGGTTTCCTTTTGTTATAGATACCACAGAGAGGAAAGGTTTCGCGCTGAACGCGATGTCTCTCGCGATGGAGGTGTGTTCAAAACACGCACAGGAAATCCTACACTTCGATTTTTCCTGATGAAATAATGAATTCTCCTTTCTTCCTTTTGTCTAACGATGGCGCTGTTTGTTTTCTCCACCAATCACGAAATTTGAGTCATAGGGTGGTCTAAGTATTGGTACAATTGCCTAGAGCATGTGATATTTGCACGAGGGTTTTGCTGATACAAGAAGCTTGGAGTGGATTCTTGCGCCGCCATTTTGGTTAGCGGGAAAGGAATTTTCATTCGCTTCTGGGGTGGCCTATTTGGTTTTAAAACTGACTGCAATATCATTCCGAAGGATTAAAACACCTCCATCTTTTCTTACTGACGTTTTGGTGTGGTTTCGACGAAGATTCTGCAAGGAAAATCCACGACGAAAATTTGGCGTTTTTTGCATATATCAACGTTGGTGTGTTCTTTTGCGAGATTAGAACACGCACCACCAAGACGTGGCGGTCACGTGCTCATCGCGCTTAAAAACGTTTTCTCTACTACCCTTGAATGAACTTTAAAAAGTTTGAATTTTGGTTGAATTTCGTCATACATTTTATTTTTTTGCTCTATTTCCCTGTTGTAAGCAGCCGCGAAAATGCTTTCAACGGGGCCTCGTTGCCATCGGCAGTCATTGTGAAGTGAAGTATGGTAGATGGCTCAAATGGCTCCCGCTCTGACCGAGGCAACCGCATCTCCGGAGTCCTCGAGAAAGAATTCAGTGGATCGTCACTGTTCTTCAACTTTACAAGGGGAACTTAAGCAAGAAACTTCGGGTCTAGGGTTGGACTTAAAGTTGGTTTCCCAGAACGGACTTGTACGATTGATAAGTGACAATAACATTGCAGACATTTCAAATACTATCAAGCCTTCGGAGCAGAACACACCCATAGTTTCACGACTCAACGGAGATTTTAAAGGGAAAAGTGAGATGCCAAACGGACACTGTGATGATAAACTGGAAAAGAGTGCCACTGATATGTCGAGCTACTCCGCTGCCACAGAAGAAAAGCGAAATTCTTCCCTTGATCTTTCGCGTACATGTGCTTCAACGGCGAAGACTTCGGCTGGTACATGCAATACTGTTAGTGAAGATGAAGAACGGAATCGAGTTTCGCAGCACCCGGTAGCTAACTTAGATTGTGGAAAGGCTATCATTTCTCAAAGAACCGCACAGACGTTTCGACGTCAAGGAAAGCTGGACGGCCGGGCGAAAAGAATCGAAACGCGCCTTCGTAAACTACAAGCGCGGCAACTGAGAGACCATGTGCTTCAACAATTGGAAAATTTGGCAGAGAAGCGTGGTGAGTCGTGCGATTCTTCCATCGGTAATCTCGAACCAACACGGAATTCAGGAGTCAGTGCTATCCCCGAAAGTAAAAGTGCGTCAAATGTTTGTACGGAATTAAAAGCAGATCGCGCTGGCGTAAAGTCGACAGTGCCTGGAAATCTTGCCACCCGGGCTAAACATAACAGCGGAACGACTGTGGATAACGTAGTGAAAGAGCTGGAGCGCATTTCTGCTGAATCATTTAACGCCGGGGAAGG